CGCCCCCACACTCACCTGGCCGCCGAAGGTTTGTGTGGCTGTGGCAGCCTCCGCTCCCACTTCCTCATCTAAAACCTCCGGTGCATGAACCCTCTCTGGCTTTGTCTGCGTAACTACACAACTCTCCACCAGATGTTCTGATAACCTGCGTTTAATCTCTGCCTTGCGTGCGTTCAAAGGAACAGAGATGCCAAAAAATTTAGCAACTAATCCTAATTGTGCATTTTAATAATTTCGAATCCAATTTGTGCATCTATCTAATTTTTCTAAAGAGGGATTTTGTGCAAACTCATCTATTTGAAAATCCATTTTCCCTCCACACACAAGAAGAATCACCAATCAAACATAAGATAGAAAAAAATAATAATAATTTGTGAGGTTTTTTTTTTTTTTTTGTTTTTTTTTCTTACTAACAAGCAGAGACAAAAAAAGACAAAAAAATAATTAATGAAGGACAGACGAGCCCCCCAATATATGTTACGCCCCTGTCTAGGGGGAAGGAGCGCCACATCAATGTGTGATGAAAATGAACCAATAATCCTACCCCGATTCCCAAACGAACAACTAACACAGTGTTAACAATCAAGTGATGTGATTTATTTACAAACAGGTGAAACAAAGTGCAACAAAGACTAAACAACAAACTTCGGGGTGAACCAAGGCCAAAACAACAAACAAAACAGGGCTAACTTCCTTAAACAAAAATCCTTACTAATCCCTATGCAATATAAATAAAATACAGTTACTAAACCTAACTCCCTATCCTAATGAAAAACAGGAGAAAAGTAGTACAAAGAAAATGGCAGCTCACCCTTACGATACTCACTGAACACAATCATACAAAAACACTATCTACTAAGACCGTAACAATTCACTCTATCGCAACAACACACACTCTACAACCGAGGACAGAAGGATGCTCTACAACCGAGGACAGAAGGATGCTGCTGCTGAAGGTTCTGTCGGAGAGCTTCGGTGTGGTGCGGCGTTTTGAATCCCCGGCGGATGTTGCGGCTCCCTGGGAGAACCAATCAGCAGGCGACACTCCACAAGCCGAGCCCACGGCACGGACCAGTCCGAGCTGACCTACGGGTTGCCGTCAAAGATCTTACAATCGACAGGCTGCACACTCCTGCAGAGGAACAGGGACAAAAAAACACCAACACACACCACAGACGGAACCAATACCATAACATAATACTAATAATACGGCCAGGGCCGTAACAACTGTTAATATATGTTGACCTTCCCTTTTCAACTATCCAGTCTTCAACGTTACTAATTCTTTGATTTTTATGAACTCTCTATTTTTAAATGGCAGCGTTTGATGTCTTCAGATTTGGACACACTGGGTCAACTTGTATGGGACACTGTTAGAGATGTGTGCACCCAGACGTTTGTGGTTCAGTGTGGTTGATCTGTCCATAATGCCATTTGTAGATTTCCCTCAAGCAGTTTTATCCTTTTGTTAACTGCGATATTGTAATGCACCTGATCTGATAAAACATCATGTTTACTGAACCTGCTGTTTTTATTGATGCATTTGAAACAACTCAAATAAAACCAATCAGTTTTATTCTTAAAGGTAATAAAAAGCTCATCAAAAACACTGACAACATATTCTGCTGCAACTGTGTGAGTCAGGACTCAAGAGGCAGAGCTGCTGCTGTGTAAAACTCCACCTCCTTCTCAATCTCATCTACAGTCAGTTCTGCACTGTAAAATAATCCTGGTACAACAAGCAGGCTGTTCCCCTTTGGATTGAACTCTCAATGTTCTCTTCAGCTACATATTTCCTGCACTGTCTCCTCTCACAGGGAGAAGATGATCTGCTGGATCCTGCTGCTCATCAACCTGACCTCCTGTGTCTGTGGTTAGTTTACACCTTCACTTTATTATCCATGAAGAGAAAAGTCCAAATACACTTTCAGACTTCCAGCTTTCAATCTGTAAGGAGGAAGGCCTCTACAGCACTGAGAACATCACTAAACTGTCCACAGAAACATCTCGAGATGGAGTCTAAAGGCTCACATGTTAAAGTTGTAACTTTGTCTGGTCCTCACTTTCCCTCTCTGTCTCCTCAACAGGAACATTTGTAGTGAATGTGACACAGACCTCCTATCAGGCAGAGGAGAACCATAACATCACACTGGAATGGACGTTTACAACCAACACTCACAGTTCCCTCAACTTCTTTTTTATCTACTGTAGACTGATTACTGATCACAAGATATCAGTCCTGTATCATCTACATGACGGTGTGGAGGTCTCAGAGTCTCAGGATGAACAATTTGAAGGACGAGTCCAGTGTGACAAAGACGTTCTTAGAGAAGGACAAATCAGACTTCATAATGGTGGCAGTTTGGGTAAATGTCGACTCAGTGCCAGTGGTGAGTTGCTTCAGTAGAACTTTCTCTTTCATTTCAGCAGCTTTTTTGGATAAATAAAAAGTATTGTGCTCTGCCACAGCAGTATCTGGGACATATGTTACACCTTCATCTTTATAGTGACCAAATGTTTTTATTGATTTGCCATTTGATTTTTGCCATTAGAAATGTACATTTGGATTCACATATTGTCAATATGATAAAATAAATGTGATGATAAATAGTGTTGTTGTAAGTTGTAAGTAAGCTTACAATATGCAGATATTTCCATCTCATTACTGCCATTTTCTGCACTTATTCCACAGAAAATATCTATTTGATTTGGATAGAGCAAGAGAGGAGTCATCATTCAATAAAATAATGTTTGGAAGGCAGGGTATAGTTCCATCCATTATATCTGAGAACGCTGTACCTACTTGTGGTTAGCTTTGTATGATTATATATAGGTATAGTTATACTGAGATCTGTTGTGGGTATTTAGTTTGATTTGTATGAATGACACCGATTAGTTTGGTCTCTTTACAGCAGCGAGGGATTTGCCCAAACCTGAGACACAAAACACAAGAAGTCGGGGAAGACTCGGACTCTACTGGGGACCGGGACTGGCAGCAGCAGCAGCAGCAGCTCAGCTGGTTGCTTTTTATCTTTTATTTATTCACTCTGTGCCTGAAGATCACGACTTCAGATTTCAGGTCAGTAGTAGAAGGGAACATTTACAGCTCAGCATATGATCAGAGGAAACACTTTGATCAGTAATGTAAATGAGACGGACTCATGTGTCCAGACTCAGGACGGTACCTGTGTGACGTGAACACAAATTATTTGCTGGCAGCTTCTGAATGTCACTGGTGAGTTGATTCTGGAGAACGTAGTCCAACTTTCTTAACACATACCATGGACACGGAAAATAGTAGTTTCTCATTGGCTAAACTGCACTTTATTGAACGAATGTAGATAAACAGGTGTACCTCATATATCAGGTATAGCACATAGCAGCAGGGTGTAAGATGCTAGCCAGGTCAGCGTACATGGAGAGACACAACCAAGTGGCTGGAATAGTGTGCAGGAACATCTGCACCCAGTATAGAATAGAAGTACCCAAATCCCAATGGGCCGCACCACAGAAGGTGGCTGAGAACAACAGGGCCAAGGTGCTGTGGGACTTCAGCTTCCAGACTGACAAACAGGTCCTGGCCAACCAACCAGACATAGTGGTGGTAGACAAGGAGCAGAAGAAGGTGGTGGTGATAGATGTGGCCATACCAGCAGACGCCAACATCAGAAAGAAGGAACATGAAAAGGTTGAAAAGTACCAAGGGTTGAAAGAACAGCTGGAGCAGATGTGGAAGGTCAAGGTGAGCGTGGTCCCCGTGGTAGTAGGAGCACTCGGGGCAGTGACCCCCAAACTGGGGGAGTGGCTCCAACAGATCCCAGGAACAACATCAGAAGCCTCAGTCCAGAAGAGCTCAGTCCAAGGAACAGCTAAGATACTGCGCAGAACCCTCAAACTCCCAGGCCTCTGGTAGAGGACCCGAGCTTGAGGATGACACACAGATACCACCCCGAGAGGGAAGTTTTATTTTATTTTATTTTATTTTATATATATATATATATTGGTATTTTTATTGTATATTATTATTTATTATATGGAAAATAATTGAGGGCCAAACAAACTGTTTCTCAACAATCATATTGGTGTTTTTATGCACATTTTCTGTGAAGTTACACTAATTTTGGGAAAATGTTATAATTGAATCCTGAAATATGTAATACTTAAAGTTATACACCTTAGAAATATAAATGATTGTGTCCGTCTTAATGATGTGATCATATGAATGATATTTAACTGAGATATTATTGATCACAAGCAAGAAGGCAATAACAAGAAATTGGAATAAGATCCAACCCTCTAATACAGAACAATATTTAGAAATTATAATAGATTTATTCTGTGGAAAAAAGAGCTTATTGGGAAATGGAAGAAATTTTGTTGTTTCTTGTATTTATTTGACTGGTTGTATTAATAAGTTAACTAAGTATACTTTTGGCTGTATACACAAAGAAAACTCAATAAATATTAAACATATTTATTAAACTTGGAAAGAGACATTAACATTATAAAATGCCAAAATTTATAAAGATAAGATTTCATTTATTGATCCCAAACTGGGGAAATTCACTTGTTTATTTAGTTTAGATTTAATCTGCAACAAAATACACATTAAATAAAAAATAAGATGTAATATAAATATAAAAGATATGATAATAATATATAATAATGATTAATATAATAATGAGAAACTCTCGAGATAATTAGTTAATATTTTAAAATAATAAACTTTCTCAGTATTTTGACTCTTAAAATGATTATTTTGAGATATTAAGTTAATTTAATTTAATTTTTTTTCTCATTATAACGACTTACAGAATATGTTCTAGGTCACATTGGTAGAAATAAGCTTCCATATGTCCAATATCTATAGTTTTGTTGTTGGATTTACTTAAATAAAAACTGATTATATATTTTATAACCTTTAAATAAGATCTGATCCAATATCGTCTTTCGATTAAGTCTCCTGTTGTGCTCTTCCTCTATTGGTCGGATTTGGTCAGCTGACCGGGGCAGACGGGGCACGTGACTACCCGGACCCAGCTGCTGTTGACAGGTTCGGCTCGTTTCGGTTCTGAAATGTCTCCTGATAATCGATAAGCTGAGCCGGTAATCGATACATTGAACGCGCGGAGATGCTGGAGGACGGCTCCACGGAGGTGTCTGTGATCCCGGAGAACCAGCACTGTGGAGAGGTAGCGGACATCCACAAAGCGGAGCTCGCTCCCGGGGGCTCCCTGCTCGGATGTCTGGGGGTCCGGGGGCGGCTGGTGGTGTGGGACCCGGCCGACAGAGAGGCTCCTCCGGCCGCAGTGGACGGGAGCTACACGGAGTGAGTTCCAGTGTTTACCTGTGGAAGCCCACTTCCGCCTGTATAGTGACAAATAAAGGTCCTTTAAGTTACTGTAATGACAAAATAATGACAAAGTATCTTGATAACAAGTTATTATCCCTCAGTCTTTTATCTACGGAAGCCTATTTCTGCCAATATGAGTTATTATAATGTGAAACTTTATCAAAATAATGTGAAACTTGCGAAGTTGTAGTCTTTATTTACATCTATGGAAACACATTTCTGCCAATATGATGGAAAAAAAGGTTCTGTAAGTTATTATAATGAGAAACTAAGTCAGGAGTGCATAAAAGTTATTAAATTGTTAAAATACAAAAATGTGAAATTATTGTTATTTGAATGATTATCTTATTGTTATTGACCACGAGAAGCAGGTAATTATTGGTTATTTATATATAAATAAATCTATTTCATGCATCACTGGTTTAAAAAATGTCCATCAGATATTGTACAAACTGCAGTTTACAGTCGGAGTTAATAAAAATGTTGTTCTCTCTCCAGTTTCTGTTGGGAGGAAGTGGCGGTTCACGGTCGCAGCGTCAGCAGCTTTAGACTGCTGGCTGTCGGAGGTCAGTGCGACCTGAAGCTGCTGGAGGCTGAAGCAGAACGATCCGCCGCCATTTCTCTGCTGCAAGTCTGCGAATGTCCTGCAGACCGTCTGCTGCAGACCGTCAGAGACCAGGACCACGGTGAGTACCAGGACCACGGTCCCACCATCAGACTCTAGTGCACGCAGAGGTCAGGTCAAAATAATGAGAAACTTTATCAAAGTAATGATTTAGTATCTTCATACCAAGTTATTATTCCTCAGTCTTTCTATGGAAGCATATTTCTGCCAAAATGATGGAAAAAAGAATCCTGTAAGTTCTTAAAACTAACTTACTAACTTATTATTTTAACACCAGGAGGGAAAAACTACAAGTTATGAACTTTTTGACTGTGAAATAATTGTTATTGAAATTAGTGTCTTATTGGTATCAGCCACAAGAAAGCAGGTAATTATTGGTAATTGGCTCCAAAAAAATCCATATCATGCATCACTAGTCAGGTCAGATGCTCCAGTGCAGAGGTCAGATGCTCCAGTGCAGAGGTCAGATGCCCCAGTGCAGAGGTCAGATGCCCCAGTGCAGAGGTCAGATGCTGCAGTGCAGAGGTCAGATGCTGCAGTGCAGAGGTCAGATGCTCCAGTGAAGGCAGAGGTCAGATGCTGCAGTGCAGAGGTCAGATGCCCCAGTGCAGAGGTCAGATGCCCCAGTACAGAGGTCAGATGCCCCAGTACAGAGGTCAGATGCTGCAGTGCAGAGGTCAGATGCTCCAGTGCAGAGGTCAGATGCCCCGGTGCAGAGGTCAGATGCTGCAGTGCATAGGTCAGATGCTACAGTGCAGAGGTCAGGTGCTGCAGTGCAGGCAGAGGTCAGGTGCTGCAGTAAGACAGTGAAACATTAGTGATGCTTTACAATCACGTGTATATTATAAATGTATTTATAATATTGCTGATTGTGTCTTTATGTTCAGGTGTGCGTGAGCTGCAGTCGGTGCGCGTGTTGTCGTTTGCCGCCGGCCGCTGCTGCGTGCTGCTGAACTGTGATTGGCTGCTGCAGCTGCAGTGGCGGCAGACGGAGGAGGAGCTGCAGACGTTGTCCTGCTGCAACATCCAGCTGACTGACAGCAACAGACACACTGCCGTCAACCACTGTGTCTGCAGAGGGACGCTGTTCATCCTCAGCTCCACGGGACTCATATGTATCCTCAACCTACAGCTGCAGAGGTCACTACACTAATACACAGAACGACTGTTACTGCTGCTGCCTCTACTACTCACACTGCTAATTATTATTAATAATAACTGACTGACTCAAACTAAGATAAGCTATATTAAAGGACCTGTGTGTAGGAATTGGTGGCCACGAAATACACAAAAGGTCCTATCTAGAGTCAGTGTTTGGTTTGTCCGTTCAGGGCTACTGTAGAAACATGGCGGTTCAACATGGCGGACTCTGCCAGAAGAGGACCCGCTCCCTCTGTAGATATAAACAACTCATTCTAAGGTATCAAAAACACAATGATTCTTATTTTCATCCGATTATTCACTAATGAAAACACACCAATGAATATTATATTATACTTCTGAGAATAGATCCTCCTCAATGTTTCACTCTGCAGCTTTAAACTACACTAACATAAAGAAACTAATCTAAATGTAATGAAACTTAAGTGAAAGAGCTAATGAACAAAACTAAATAAAGCTGAAATATTCTAGTTAAACTAAAGTTCAAGTAAACTGCAGCAGGTTTAAGTTAACTAAACAATGTTAAATTACTTGTCATTGTACGATAAACTAAACTAGTCTTGAGAATATACATTTAATTACATTAAATTAATTTAAACTAAATGAAGATAATTTACACAGAACTAGAAATTGAGCTAATTAAACTAAACTAGCCACGATTGAACTAATCTAAAGTAAACAAAACAAATCTTAATTAAATTATTTGGAGTAAAACAGAGATAATAATTATTTAACTAATTTAAATTAACCTGATAAAACTGAACAAATAAACTAATTGTTAATTACAAGAAATGAAGCAGAACTAAGTAAAACTAAATGTAGTTAAATTAAACTTTAGCTTAACTAAATTAAACTAGCTGTGATGAAACTACGCTTAACTAAACAAATCAAACCAAACCTAACTAAACCAACTAAATATAGTATTTTAACTCGATAAGCCAAAGCTAATCTAAGCTAGCCAAATAAAATTAAATAAACTAAGTAGAAGCAGAACTAACCTTCCTCTTCCTGAGCTTTTAGTCACAGCTCACAGTCTTCCTCAGTGGGTGGAGGAAGACCGTGAGCTGATCTGGATCTCTTCTTTAACTGTGACCTCCAGCTGTGTACAGTATCTCTGATGGCAGTCTGCAGGCCAGCGTCGACCTCCCGGCTTACCTGAGCTCCCACCTGGCGGACGATGACCTCATCTCTCTTTCCTCCTCCTCCTCCCTCTCCTCCTCTTCCTCCTTCTGCCTCCTCCAGGTGTCAGCTGATCTCAGTACAGCCGTAGCGGTCACTCAGTCTCAGACCGCCGTCGCCGTCGATCTCAACCACTACTTCAGGTACAGTCATTCTCCTGCTTTAGTTCCGGCTTTTATTGTCCGAATTTCTTCTAATTTGGCACAAACGTCGTCTTGGATAGGACGATGAACTGATTCGATTTTGGTGGTCAAAGGTCAAAGTTCAAGGTCAGTGTGACCTCATGTCTGTCCCACTATTATAAACACGATATCTCTGTTAAAATTTGGCACAAATACACGTTTTTTAAAAATTTTTTTTATCAGAACTCAAATTGAAATTTCGCACAGATGTTTGATGGGATACAACGATGAAGTGACCAAAAGATCAAAGGTCAACTTCACTGTGACATCATAACGTCCTTCAAAAACACTTTTTCCTTGTTATTCCAGTCGGTCATTTAGTGGTCATGTTTTTGCGTTTTGACGCAATGTATTTTAACTAACTGCTTCTAGGGAATTGATCGGATCGACTTCAGATTTGGTCAGTCCCATTTAAACACCATGATGGTGAAAAGTTATCAAAATCTTTTCCATTGAAGGGCGTATCCGTGGCGTGGCGTCCAATTTCTATGTTTCGCCATTAAACAGGAAGTTGTTGTAACTTGACTGCACATGTTCCAACCGGCCCCAAATTGTCATGTTTGATAAGAATCTGAACACATCTACATGCCAATATTCACGCATAGCCAGAACGCCACCCACTACCAAGTGGACGGACGCCTCGTATGGCGATCGTGATCTGAATTACATTAAATTTAAACTGCTGATTCCTGCTTCAATTGTTTCAATCAAAAAGTCCTCCTGGCAATCACAGTCTCAACAGCGACAATTAAACACACAAACGCCTCTCGAAATGAGGACATGGCAGTAATTGCGAGGGCAGAGTGAAAGCACATTAAACAGATAACACTGCACACGGGAACAATGTGGCTCCGTCTGCCTGTTGAACAGTTTTGATCCTGATTGCAGAGCGCTGCAGAGACATGGCCCACTGACTGCCAAATGTGTCTGATGTGAATGTTCCCGACTCAGCCAGAGGAAAATTAAACCGACTGAAGGAACACATCAGAGCAGCCCATTAAACACCTAGTTCATCACGCACCGCGCCACAGAGAGGCCGACTGTTTCCAGATAAAACAAAACAAACTTCAGAGTGATATTTCTGTCTTTCAGGATGTATCCGGACCACCTCCTGTGTGCCGCTCCCCCCTCTCGCTCCCCTCTCCAACCCCAGCACCCAAGAGACCAGGACAGCCTGTCCAGCTCCAACTGCTGCCTCGCCGCCCTCGGCTCAACCTTCAGTACCGACCGGTAAACCAGCGACAGCCACACACACTTTACTTTTAGATACAATGACACCCCAGAGATCACCTGTTTACTCCTGGTATTAACCTGCATCTTGAGTGATTGGATCACATGGACAGCTCCACATACAGTGTAACGACCGCTGTGATCAGATCACTCAGACCACTTGCAGAGGTCACATTTGATCACATATCTTTAGTAGAGTAAATACTTATGCGTCCTGGGCCTTGTTGAAGGACCGCCTACTCAACTGTCGTCCCATACAGACACAGAAACGCTGTCTGATTGGGTCTTTAAAAAGGGACCCCTTTAAAAGATCACACAATTTTGAGAGTTATTGAGTGAGGAGAAACTTCATAAACGTTGTAAAACATTATCTGCCACACATTGTTGATTATTTGGGCCTTCTTGTAAATTCTGCAAACTTTACACATGAATTTATTTATGTGAATTTAAAAATCATTGTGTCCGTTTATCATTTTTATTCCTTCAACTTTATCTTCACATTAATCTCGACCTCTGATCTCTCACTTTAACTCCTTTTTAGCTCGTGGGAAGCTCGTCTGGCCTCTATGTACAGCAGAGCCCAGAAGACTACCGCTCCCTCCTCCTCCTCACAGCCTGCTGGGACCTCCTGGTCGTCCTCCCTCCCCCACCTGGAGTCCCACCTGGCTCCATCCTCGGCCCACAGCAGAGTGCCTCGCGGCGGGGCGACTGTCACTTTCTCCACCCCCGAGTCGTCCGCTCCATCTCTGCTCACCGTGTCCGAGTTCTCCGCCCAGCTGACCTTCGTCTCCCCCGGCAACAAACAGACCACAGTGGCCTTATGGGAGTTTGAGTCTGGGAGCGTGAGCTACCACCAGGCGGAGGGCGAGGCGGCGCCGGTTCAGCGCTGTGGAGAGAGACAGCACCGACTGCTGCTGAAGAGTGAGACACACAGTTCTGTTATTACGAAAGAGATTAATAATAATTAAAGCTGCTCACAGTGAAGTTTGGTGCCGATTTGAGAACGTGCACAGAAGTTAGGGTTAACTTTATGGATTCCTTTTTCACGCCATTGAACAAAACGTTGAGATTTTGAACCTTTCATCATGATCTTCTTTAGAGTGTGCTGACCAGATTTAGGTTTGATCCTATTTATTCTATTTATTATTTGTGTTAAAACAGAATGCCTGGAAATGGCAGAAATGGCTCCAGAATTGGACATTAAATTCAAAATGTCCGACTTCCTGTTGGATTTTGGGTATGGCTCCAAGAGGCTTTATTGTTTGCCTGGACTCGATACATGGGTCTACCAATTGTTGTGCGTGTACGTGAAATGTGCTGTCGGAGCTGCTTAGTTGAAATGTGGTAGTTACAAAAACGGCTGTTCCATGGCAGAACGTCGCTTTTGGATGAAAAGCTTTTAAAATCTTTTCAAGTTGAACGTATTTGATGTATTTGATGTATTTGATGTATTTGATGTGTTTGATGTGTTTGATGTCTCCAGCCAGCTCAATTCTCCAGGTATAATTTGTTATAATTCCTGGAAATTGGCACATTAAATTTAAAATGGCCGACTTCCTGTTGGCTCCAAGAGGCTGGACATGATATAGTACCGATTTTCATACATCTGGGTGAAACATGCCGCTGGAGCTGGTCTTTAGGGGGCGCTGTCGAGCCATTTCGCCACGCCCATGCGGTTGTTAGCTAGCTAGGTACACCTGAATGCTAATGTTCTATCGTTAGTTAGCTAGCTCCTTCTGAGAGACAATGTCAGCAGAAAGCTAGCTCCTCACTCCTCGGGCTCTTTGGTGAAACTGGTGATTTGATTTGCGTCCTCAGATCTCAGCAGTGAAGTTTGGAGTAAACTGTTCTCATAACAGTCGGGACAAAAATACAAAACTGAATAAATAAACAACAACATAAAAATATAAGGCTGCAATTATCTGCTTGTTCAGTTTTCTGTGGAAAATGTGTCGGCTGCGTTCGAAAGAAAACTAAAAGCCTGCAGAGAATTATTATTATAATATTATTATATTATTATTATTATATTATTGTTATATTATAATATTATTATTATAATATAAATAATATTATAATTATATTATTATTATATTAATATTATTATTATTATTATTATATTATTACATTATTATTATTATATAATATTATTATTATTATTATTATTATTATTATTATTATTATTATATATTATTATTATTATAATATTATTATTATTATTTTTATATTATTATTATTATTATATTATTATTATTATTATTATTATTATTATTATATTATTATTATATTATTATTATTATTATTATTATTATTATTATTATAATATTATATTATTATATTATTATTATATATTATTATTATATGATTATTATTATAGAGAGACAGGAGGAAAAACACAGCCACTATATTCACATGTTTGTCTCTCTTTCTCTCCCTCTGTCTGTCTGTCTGTCTGTCTGTCTCTCTCTCCCACTATCTGTCTGACTCTCCCTCTGTCTGTCTGTCTGTCTCTCTCTCTGTCTGTCTGTCTGTCTCTCCCTCTGTCTCTCTCTCTCTCTCTATCTGTCTGTCCCTCCCTCTGTCTGTCTGTCTGTCTTGTCTGTCTGTCTGTCTGTCTGTCTGTCTCTCCCTCTCTCTGTCTCCCTCTCCCACTATCTGTCTGTCTGTCTGTCTCTCCCTCTCTCTGTCTCTCCCTCTGTCTGTCCCTCCCTCTGTCTGTCTGCAGGCTCCGGTGTGTTCCAGGTCCTGTTCTCGGTGTCCCAGCAGGACTTGCTCAGCAGGTTGATGTTGTTCGGCAGCGCAGCGACAGTAGACGCAGTCTGTCACCTGAACAGCTGGGGGCGCTGCTCCATCCCCATCCACGCCCTGCAGGTAGAGGCTCACCTGGACCGGCAGCGGAGACTGAACCGGACTCACTGGTACACCTGGGTGACCCGTACATGCTGTGGTTTGTTTTGCAGGCCGGACTGAAGAACCGACAACTGGACACGGTCGACTTCTACCTGAAGAGTAAAGAAAACATCCTGAACCCTGCAGACGAGCAGCCGGCCGCCTCCACGCTGACAGACAGTACGAACTGCTCATAACAGACAGCTGACCCTTCATAAGCCCCGCCCCTTTTTGTTCTGTGCTCCAGTAACAGTTGAGTTAGCCTCAGTCAGCCTCCTGCTTTCCTGTACTGTTCCAACTGTTATTGGACCACAGAACAAAAAGGGGCGTGGCTTCAGAAGGGTTAATTATGTAACCCTTTAAACAGCAGAGAATTTAAATTTTAAATAGTTTCAATCATTACAGTGTCATACATGTTGTTGTATATTAAGCTGTGTGTGTGTATTGTTGTGCTACCAGCGGTGTGTCTCACCTGTGTGTGTGTGTGTGTGTGTGTGTGTGTGTGTGTGTGTGTGTGTGTGCAGGTGTCCAGCAGTTGTGTCCTGCGTTGGACCTGCTGTGTTCGGCCGTCAGAGATTCAAACAGTGAAGCTCAGAGCCGACAGTTCTCTGAACAGCTGCTCCACATCACCCTGAGCTTCGTCAGCACGCAGATCCGATCAGTGCTGACCAACACACAACGTAAGACAACACACACACACACACACACACACACACACACACACACACACACACACACACACACACACACACACACCGTAACTCTAGCACACAGCACTATTGGCTACAGCGACAGGTCGCTCCCTAACTGCCTGCTCTTATACGTAACTCAGCTTTCTTTTTCATCGGGCTCTACTGTTGTCTCTGCAGACGAGGACGCAGGTGTGCGGAGCTGCGTCGACGTTCTCGACCGGTATGTCACCGAACTGAGGAGCTACATGAAGAGGTTCCCCTGGCCTGCAGGGGGCGACACCTCCAGCACCAGTTCTGCTGATTCTGCTCAGGAGGAGGTGCAGAGAGACGAGTGGGAGCAGCTGCAGACAGAGGTGACATTTCCTGCTTTGTGTTTCTGTCTTTCTATTTAGGAACAAAGTGTACATTAGTGTGTGTGTGTGTGTGTGTGTGTGTGTGTGTGTGGCGCTGCAGGAAGTGGTCCGTCAGTCCATCCTGACCAATCAGATCCCCAGAGCTCAAGCCGTCCTGCGGAGGCGGGGCCGTCCGGAGCAGCGTCTGTCGGCTCTGAGGATGGAGGGTCTGCGTCAGGTCTTCACCTGCCTGCAGCACCGAGACCTGCAGACCGCCAACACTCTCCTCACCAACATGGTCAGAGCATGTTAGCATAGCAACATTCAACACTTTGATTTCGGTATTTATGTTCTGTGTTCAGTACAGAGTCATTACAATGTGCACATATTGCCTTACAGGAATCTGAACATTGGATGAAGCCAGGTTCAAAATTCTTGTTTCATTTTGTTGACGTATTAGAGTCAAAGGTTTTTACAGAGGGGATGTTAGATATCTCTTTTTATTACTCCATAAATCAGAAAATACTAATACAAATCAGGCTGTGAATGATATATGAACAAACCTCTCTGTAAAACCTTCATAATACAGAGAGGAATAAAGGTGGAAGGTTTGGTGTCTGTAGAAGCTGCTCAAAGGGAGATTTCTGTCTCTGAGTTTGAGAAAAAAACAGCCTTAATCGTAAAACTTGCCACAAAGGAATAGGGTAAATATTTAAACTTACTGATATCACCATGAAACTCCCCCAGTTGATAACTAACTTACATTAAGGCAATTATTTTTTGTATTACAAGTTTCCTTAAATGTTGTGTTTAAATATGCATTATTTGATGCTAATAGACAGTAAGTAGTAAAATAAGTAAAATAAATACATAATTAGTGTATTTTTGGTGTTTTCTTGCCAATAGTCTGAAAGAAGGCATGTTATTGAGGTCAGAATTGGCCCAAGTCTCCAAACTGACCATGTTTTTGCCCGTAGTGTGTCTGCCCTGAACTGTTTTGTGTTTTCAGGGTTTCAGCGTGAAGAAGCAGCTGCACAGTATCTGCCTCTACACCGACGACAAGGACCTCCGGGAGTTTGTGGTGAGTTCACAGTAACGACAGTTCCTCTTTCTACCTGATGTTTTCTACCCGTCAGCAGTCCTGTGTTTTACACCTTTACAAGTGTTTGAGGCCTCTGATTGGTTGATGGGTCAGGTGGAGGAGCTGTCGGGGCGGAGTTATTTCCCAGAGGAGCAGATGCAGAGTGTGGCGTTCATCGGGGAGATGGAGAAGTTGGGGTCGCTGCCCGCGTCACGCTGCACGGCAAATACCACCTCGCAAAGGTAAAGAGACCGCACGCCGTTTTTACTTGCAACCCATTAATATAAACATTATTTCATATACTGAGAACTCAGTTACCATAGCAACACTGCAGCCTTTTATTAAGTGATTTATTGTACTTTCTCCTGTTTGTTCTTTAGCTCCCTCTCTGTTATCTTCCGCCTCGTCTTTATCTCAGATGAATCCCTCTCTCCCTCTGAATCCTCTCTTTATCTCCGAGAAGTCTCAGTCTCTCCGACCCGGCTCACCTCTCTTTGCTCCCTCTTTCCAGGCTGGCTCAGGTGGTCCGTAGGGAGGCAGCCGGAGGTGGTGAGGAGATTCTTCTGGAGGAACTGACAGGACAGAAGACCTTTGTGGAAGACGGGGGTCTCTGGAGGAACCTCCGCCTGGACTGGGTGAGGAACTGGGACCAGAGCTGCCAGACCACCGTCCTCCTGTCCAGACTCCAGCACACAGGTAGACTCACAACAGAAACCGGTTCTTCGGAGACTTGTCTTGGAAGATTTTCCTGCCCTTTAAAAGACGTCTTTGTCCTCTGTTTAGAGTTGAGCTCCTGTGACGCGGCAGTGTTGTGGCGTTACCTCACTGCCCTGCATGACCAGCGCCGGGTGGTGGACTGGATCGACTGGAACAGGGAGACCTCTGGCGCCCCCCGGTGGCCTGAGTTAACCCCAGAGCTGGTCAATAACAACACAGTCTGCAGCACCCACATGAGGGAGGACATCCTGGACCTGCTGGCCAGGTACAGCAGCCAGTTGCACCTAATAAATGTCATCTTTCTGCATATGTACGGTGGCCAAAAGAGGTCAATACACTGCAGTTTAAAGGTCCAGTGTGTAACACTGAGGAGGAGCTTTTGTCAGAAATGTAATATAATATCCATAGGTATGTTTTCATTTGTGTATAATCAGCTGATAATAAGAATCTACAGAGGGAGCAGGTCCTATTCTGGTGGAGTTTTGTGGCCACCGTAGCTTCTGAGCGTGAGATGATGCATCTGCAACTTCACTGCTAGACGTTTTCAACTTCCTGTCTAACATGCTCAGGTTCCTGGTTTACAGATGTCTTGTTTGGCTCATGTTGGTGTTTCTTCCTCCAGGAGAGGTCTCTTCATCCCGGAGGAGCTGGCAGACTTGGAGCAGCTACTGTGGAGGCTGGCTCAGGGTGGAGGGGTGATGGCTTCATCCCCACCCGTCCCTCAGTACCGCTCCTCCCTTGGCCTCGACCTCCACAGCCTCTTCATCACCTTCTGCCTGGACCACAGTCTGCAGTACCTGCTCTACACCTACCTGGAGCACTACAGGTGTGTGCGGATGAGATTATACTTTCTTGCATTGCAGTTTAACAGCTTCTTAATTGATTTGAAATATCAGTCAGGTTAATTAGCTGCTACTGTCCGTCGTCCACAGGTTGACGCCCAGAAACTGTCCCCTCTTGACCAATCAGAGCCTGTCTGAGAGCCAGCCCTGGTTTGAGATGTTGGTGAAGATCCAGGAGATCACCAGAGATCTGTCAGGTACCGGATTTCTACAGAATCAGATCCTACCAGAACGGCCATTTGGTGTTGCGGATTCTGGATTGACTGTTTCCTTGTCTGTTCCAGATCCAGGACTGGTATTCCAGGCCAGTTTAACCAGTGCACAGGTACTGTTACCAGGCAGCCAGGCTTCTCTCAGCAGTCTGCTGTTGGAGGGACACAGTCTGCTGGCCCTGGCTGCCGTCATGTTCGCACCTGGAGGAATCGACCAGGTACAAAAGTTTTTCAAAGTTTTATTTGGACCATTAGCTCCATGCTACTAACTAACTCGCCGTTTACAAATCAGCCCATCTACCAACACCACGAAGCAACCAACACCAGACCCACATTTGACTTTGGACTCTGTGTTGGACTCTGTGTTGGACTCTGTGTTGGACTCTGTGTTGTGGACTCTGTGTTGGACTCTGTGTTGTGGTGGGTGTTGGTCGTTTGTAGCCGTTAGCAGACTCCATTTATAAACTAATGTTAGCCAGTGTTGCCCACTGTTGGCACTCGGGAGCATAAAGGTCACAACCTTTGACCCTCATCCTACATAGAGACACATAGAGATCAGTCCACAGGCAGCAGAGGGACAAAGCTACACTACAACCTGTTCACACACTGATTCACACACACTGAATAAAACAGAAAAATAATACGTAAAATGCTTCAGAATCTTAAATATGGATTTGAAATGAAGAAAAGTAGCCCTCAGGCTGAGTCCAATAATATTATGCATAGCACACACAACAGGCATAAACCAAGTCTAACGATTGTTCCACAGAATTTACTTTGATGAAATGTCTTTAACTAAGATGGCAGCTCACTGAGTCTTTTTTTAAAGATGAAAAGGAAGAAAACCTTCTAGCAGCCTCACACACTGTACATCTCAAACTTTCTGTCTCTGTCATGCATTAATTCTCACTCTTTCAGTGGGCTAGAGCAGCTCTCACTGTTCAAAAGAAATGTGCTCCCAGTAATGTGCTGTTTGCCTACATTTACAATTAAGTGTAGCAGAGTGCAAATGGGGTAGAAACCTGAATAAATAAACAGCACCAGGGCTCCCTGAATGGTTTGAGTGTGAAAATGTTGTGAATTATATGTTCAGTCACCAGATCTTGGTCTATATAACGGTAGTGGATGGAAAATCTGTGTATCCCTCGTTCTTTTTATATCAAATATAGAATTCAGAATCTCCGCTCAAAACTGGTGGTTCCAATAATGGTTCAAGAACCAGGGCTGATTTGGTGGCTAACACTGCTTCCTGTGTGCAGGTGTTGGTTCAGGGTGAAAGGTTGGGCAGATCAGAGAAGACGGTCGACCCCCAGCTCCTGAAGATGGCGCTGGCTCCCTACCCCAAACTGAAGGCTGCCCTGTTCCCCACCGGGCCGCGAGGAAACGGCCCGTCCTCAGACATCTCCGTCTACCACCTCCTGCAGGTACGCTCCCACCTGTCGCCTCATTAGGTTATTAAACTTACAGGATCCAGTCACACACGTCAGTAGTTCTTGTTACAGTAGATTGTTGTTGTTATAGTAAATTTGAAATCACATTATTAAGTTGGTGTGTTTTCCAGTCGCTGCATCCTCTGGACCCATCCAGGCTGTTCGGCTGGCAGGCTGCAAACACCCTCAACTCCACCGGTAAGCTCTGAAAACCAGCATTAAGGCCACTGCAAGGTTGTGACCCCTGACCCTATCAAGGAAACACGCTTCAGCCCAGATAAAGCACCTTCTTTTTTAGCCATGCTTGCAGCGATTGGAAGGATTGCCATTACTTTTTTGGGTCAGATATTCATGAATTTATAAATACTGGTGATCCTCTGATTTTCATAGTCAAAATTAAATATGTCCAATACTTTGGTTTATGACCAAATACCTACAAAAATAATGAAATGCCTATCAGTTTATCACTTATTTTATTGATATAAGAGAAAGCTTCCAAACAAGAGCAGCAAGCGTTTGTCCAATCAGGTGCTGCCAGAGAGAGTTTGTGCGGTAGTTGGAGGGTGTAGCTTTTTGTGGCTACAAGTGTCCAATGCTGGATTAAGAGCACAAAAGCTCAAAGTGTACAGGCTGGTTAACGTGCATTCATCTTATTTATTCCACAGAAACGTCAGAGCTGCCTCATTTCTCCAGCCCTCACCTGGTCAACAGGTTCGCTCTGGTGGAGAACCTGGACTTCCTGTACTACCTCCGTCATGGCCGACCATCCTTTGCGTACGCCACCTTCCTCGTCCAGCAGCTGAGCGGCTGCAGCGACGTCACGCTACTGTGAGTGCTTAACTATAGCCATGCAGCCCAGGAAAGTCTAATCGATTAATGGAAATGATGAATTAATAATGTGTGTGTGTTGTAGGCTGCAGCAGGCCCTGCAGCAGGTGTACAGGTTGGCCCTGCAGTGTTTCAGCCTGCCGTCTGTGGCGTCAGCGAGCGTCTGTTTCTGTGAGCTGCTGGGAGGCTGCAGCCTGAAACTGAGGGTCGACATCAGAGCCATGAACACCATCCTACAGCACTGGAACCAACACAACACACACACTGCTCCGACACAGCATCTACACACTCTGGGTAAACACAACACACACACACACACACACACTGCAGCACAACACCTACACACTCTGGGTAAACACAACACACACACACACACACTGCAGCACAACACCTACACACTCTGAAAAAACAACACACACACACTGCAGCACAACACCTACACACTCTGGGTAAACACACTAATTTGTCTGTTTTCAGTGTCTAAAGGTGTAAAGCTGGCGGAGGCGGAGCCTGGAGCAGCGGAGGAACTGATTGGCTACCTGGAAGCTGCAGTGACAGACAGCCTGGAGCAGAAGGGCATCAGCAGGTAAGACCGCTCTGTTCACCAGACTCCATAAACAGAAACAGTAATTTTACCTTGCAGATCATCATAACATCGTAACTTCATTGAAAGTCGACAGAAACAAAATAAAACTCACCAAAACCGTCTTTGTTAGTCTTTCCAACAACCACCGACTCTGGTTTGGTAGGAAAAAAAGAAAAACTACAGTTAGATTAGAAAATGTTTGTGAAGCGGTTTGCAGTGACTGCAGTGTAAACTAGTGTTAATCCTTGGGGACAAATGCACCTTTACAAGCTAGCTTCATGTAAAATCCTAATTTGTAAAGTAAATAGTAACTGCATATAGTGCATTAAATAGTGTTAATTAGTTTCAGTGTCAAAAACTCTTTTATATATATTTTATTATTCAGTCAGTCAGGTTGGACATTTTAAACTTTTGACGCTTTCTGATTTGTTTAGGAGCTTAATGATTACAGTATCTAAAGGAGTAAGAGTTGTTTCTGCTGTCCAAAAACCAAAGTGGTAAAATAGAAAAACATATATGTTAATTAGAAACTGCACAAAGAAGGTTATACATGTTTATTGTGTGTGTGTGTGTGTGTGTGTGTGTGTGTGTCAGGTCGTCCTACGAGGCGGCTCAGGAGTGGGCGTTGCCTGTTCAGTTCTGTCAGCTCCACAGTCTGAAGCTCAGCTCTGTTTACCCCGCCCACTGCGCCGATGACGGACAGTTCATCCATTTCCTGTTGTTCGTCCAGCTGCACAACTTCCCGCCCCAACAGGTGAACACACACCTCCACAGACGTCCTCACATTTTAGCTCTTTGCCTAACAGCACCACCATGTGGTCAGATTGTGTCACTGCAGTCTGTCGCTGATGTTCGTGTGCTGCCTAGCTGGCGGTTTTAGATCATAGTGATCCAGAACTGCAACGTCACACTTGACCCTTGACCCTAACCCTATTTCACTCCAGGATCCTGAGTTAAACTAAATGCTTTGTTACATACTGTAGGAGTTATTCAAACCTAGTATTCAACCTCCCTTCTGACCATATTTGGTTCTTCCTCCAGGTGAGGTCATTGGCAGCTCAGTTTGGTCCCGCCCTGCAGGCCCACCTGAGTCTGGCCTTTCAGGACCTGCAGGTGTTCAGTCAGAGGAGGAGCTGTGGTGGTGAGGAGCAGTCAGGGTCTCCGAGCACAGAGGAGGCCCCTGGCAGCACGCAGCACCACAAGGAGCTGTTCCATGTCCTCCTGCAGAGCCAGGAGGAGCCGGCGCCCTGCAGGTACCTGCTGCAGGAAGCGCTGGTGCAACACTGCCCAACGCTGGCTGTAATGGCTGCCTGTCAACAGGTAACAAAACACACCTGCTACTATCAAAGGGTCTATGTGTAAGAAAACTGTAGCTAACAGCGCCACCAGTGGTCGTTCAGTGAACTGTAACTAACAGCGCCACCAGTGGTCGTTCATTAAACTGTTGCTAACAGCGCCACCAGTGGTCGTTCAGTGAACTGCAGTCACCGTCCTGTTTACTGTAAAATAACTGACAATCATATTTAGAATAACGTTTCTATCTGCAATGTTCCTATATTTTATTTGGACCGTTAGCTCCATGCTAATAACTAGCTCGCTGTTTACAGATCATCTTTGTTCCGCTACATCATTTCTTGTTGGCTAAAATCACACCGTTAACATAACCACACAAATAGTATTTTGCTAGCAATAATGTTAGTGAGCAAGTAAGTTAGTCTAACATGCTGAATAATGTTAACCTGCAAACAGCCAGATCAGCCGCTGGAGACTGGATGAAGCTAGCTGACAGGATTTTGTTACATTACTGAAACTAGAAATTTTTCCACATTAGCAAGCAAGCTAACGTTATCCAGCTAAAAGCACAATCAGACAATATGTTCCATTAGCTTAGCATTAATGTTCGCTTTAACTTTGGACTCTGTGTTGTGGACTCTGTGTTGTGGACTCTGTGTTGTGGCCTCTGTGTTGTGGACTCTGTGTTGGACTCTGTGTTGTGGACTCTGTGTTGGACTCTGTGTTGGACTCTGTGTTCTGGACTCTGTGTTGTGGACTCTGTGTTGGACTCTGTGTTGTGGACTCTGTGTTGTGGACTCTGTGTTGGACTCTGTGTTGTGGACTCTGTGTTGGACTCTGTGTTGGACTCTGTGTTGTGGACTCTGTGTTGGACACTGTGTTGGACTCTGTGTTGTGGACTCTGTGTTGTAGACTTTGTGTTGTGGACTCTGTGTTGGACTCTGTGTTGTGGACTCTGTGTTGTGGACTCTGTGTTGTGGACTCTGTGTTGGACTCTGTGTTGTGGACTCTGTGTTGTGGACTCTGTGTTGTGGACTCTGTGTTGGACTCTGTGTTGTCCACTGTTGGCACTCAGGAGCATAAAGGTCACAACCTTTGACCCTCATCCTACATAGAGACACATAGAGATCAGTCCACAGACAGCAGAGGAACAAAGCTCCACTACAACCTGTTCACAATAGTTTAAAATAAAAATATAAGATACAAATATACAATTAAAAATATGTGAAATATACTGTATTTCAAATGAAAGGAGCTGTACAGTGTATCGAATTTAGAGTGAAATGAGCCTGTAATGTTATGTATTACTGAGACAAACTGTGAGTTTGAGAAGGATTTGAGGCAAACAGTGCCGCTGCATTTAAAGATGTAAGTAAAAATACCTCCAGGTCATATCTGCATCTAATAAGCAACAACAAAAAGTGAGTCAACATCCAGTCCGAATCCTGATGAAGGAGAATTCTTCATGAATTTACTCAGCAGGTAACCAGAACTGTTCACCACGGCAAAGTCTAACTAGACGAACGAAAACACTTTTAAATCACTACAGCAGAATAAAACTGTGCCTCACAGTAGAGATAATAAACTTTATATTCTGTGGCAATACTGTGGATTGTTTCTATGTGTCAACGATCGTCAATACAGTGAAACTAGATCAAATATTTGTTTTTATCTAAAGACTTGCGTCACTGTGTGTGACCCTGATCGACAGGAGGCGGAGCTGCTGCCGTGCCTGTGTGTGTGGGTGTTGACCTCCGTAGACGATGTCACAGCTGGGGAAGCCACCTCCCATCTGGTTGAAGCTGCCCAGCACCACGAGTGGACCCTCCATGATCTGTCAATCATTTGGAGGACGCTGCTGGGGCGGGGCCACGTCAGGCCCCTCCTGCGAGGCTTCGATCTCTTCCAGAGGGTAAAAAACATGAAAAATTAGATGTTACTTGATCAGAGATTTGAACTTGTCCGCTGGAGCTTTTACAGTCACTAGAAGCACATTCATGCCATTTGTAAAAGTTTTTTTACAATTTGCTCGGGGAGGGAGCTAACCGAATTCAGGGATTTAGTTACACTTTAATACTTCTCCCAGTAGTCATTACGTCTCTTAATTTGGGAAAAGTCTTTTAATATGTAACATATTGAATTGAAGGAGGACGTTTACAGCTAATGCTATACTACTAGAATAAGTTCAAGTTAAAACAAAACTTTGCTTCACTGACTTAAGAGAAACGATAACACAGGTATTTTTCTGTTTGGTTTGTCTCTCAGGACTCTCCTCTGGTGTTGGTGCTGAGGATGTTTGAGTTGTGTTGTGACTACAGGAACTTCTCTGAGGCCAAAGCAAAGCTGTTGGACTTCCAGAGGACACTCATCACTGTAAGGAAACACGCATTAATTAGCATTTTCTTTTGCTGATGTTCTGAACTTTGGGTTGCAATTTGTGCTTCATTTTGATGGATGGAAACCTGGAAACAGTGACTTCCAGTTCAGTAAAAAATGTAAGTAAAGAAATATGGTTGTTGTACATTTTATCCTACTCCACTGCTTTTGAGCCAGATGTTAAGCTATTCTGTAAGAGTTTAATGCAGCAGACTGTTTGACCCTAAACAGCCGTGTTAAAGACCTCATGAATCATCCAGGACAGGAAGGACTCACCCAGGAACAGGGAAAACATGAAAGGCCTCCCCTCCTTCAGCTGTGAAGTTCATCTCTTTTATCTCTTCCTCCCAGCTGAGAAACGGAGGCCCGGCACCCACCGGCGGACTCCCCCTGCAGTGGGTGGAGAGCCAGGCCTCCGTGCTGCTCCTCACTATGCTGCAGCGCTGCTCCTCCCAGTACGACCTCCACCGGCTGCTGCAGCTCCTCGCAGACGTCGACAAACTCCTCAAATCCAACGGTGAGATCAGAGAGTCGCCCACCAATCTCAAAACATGTCAGAATAAGCTCAGGGTTGATTACCATCTTGTCACAAAGCAGCTGCTGTCGTCCTCTCAAAAAGATGTTTTTTCTGACCTCTGACCTGTCTGTAGACTTCACTCTAAAGCACCTATTTTAAAAAAAACCCTCCCTGCTCTGTTGATGTGTGTACACAGGTGAATTTTGTGTGAAATTTGTCATTCTTGTGCAGGTCTGGACTTCAGGAAGCTGAGTCAGCTCAGTCAGTTGCTGCAGGGGTCGGAGGTCAGTCTGTCTCCCAGGCTGCTGCAGTGCAGTTCTCCCACTGACCAGCAGGAGGAGTTCCAGGCTGCAGTGGATGCTCTGCAGGCCAGGGGGTGCTACAGCCAGGCCCGGCAGGTCGCTCAGCTGGCCGGCCTGTCCATCCACCGCCTGCTGCTCAGCCAGGTCTGAACCACCACACAGCACACACCGAGATTTATATTTCACATTATATAATTTTTTATTTGAAAGATATTATTCTATATTTTTCATTAAATATCCAATATTGTTTAAGAGTGGTATTTCTTTCTTCTATGTAGCTTCTCCAGGATGTAAACTCCAAGAAGTCCAAGCGTCAGTGGGGACGTTTGGAGACACGAGTCGGTTTCTGGAGGAAATGTCACGAGCAGCTGAAAGCTGACAGCACTGATCCAGAATCTGCTTCCCAGTTCTTCCTGTCGCAGGCTGAAACTGAGGCCACAGACTCCTCCGGGGCCACGGAGGCTCAGAGCGAGCTGCTGGACGTCCAGGAACGCTGCCTGCTGCTTTGCCTCGCCGCTCACTGGCTCGCCATGCTCAACCCGGCTCCAGTGGACCGATTGGAGACCCTGGAGAAGAAGTTGTGGGTCAGCCGGGTCCGAAGGTGTGTCCTCACCGTCGCCATGGAGAAGGAGAGTGTTTTCAACCTGCCGCCGCCGGCCGTCACGCCTGACATGAACTCATACGAAGTGCTCATGAAGGAGTTCTCATTCTCCAACATATCGGGCCTGAACACAGAGAGGTGTCTCAGTCTGGAGGGACTGCCGGGTCCAGCTGAGGAGCAGGAGGACATTGATTCAGCGTTGAGTCCAGAGGAGAGGCGCATTCTGGCTACACTGATTGGTCAGTTATTAGATGACAGCAGTATCCATGAAGCCAGCCGGGTCTGCCGTTATTTCTCCCTGTATCACCCAGACATGTGGGTGGTGCTGCGCTGCCGAGGTCTGGCCTCTGGAGAGCTGAACCCTGAATCGCAAGAAGAGGCATCAGAAGCTCTGCCAGGGAAGAGCATAACCAGCTGTAAGCTCTGATCTTCAGTTCATATATAAATATACTTTACACATCTTTTATCACAATATTCTTCAGAGTAATCATTTAAACTCTTTCTACGTCCAAAGTGTTTCCAATGTCTGCAAATACGCTTCTATTTTAAACGTACAATAAAACAAAAGAAAAAGTCTGATGAGGTGGTTAAGCAGCGTGGGATCATGGGAGTTGTTGTCTTCACCACCATTGCCGTCATTGCAGTCAGCTTCTCCCGGTTAGGATTCCTTCAGTGTTCATGGTTCAGGAGTTTTCTACTGGGAGCCCAATTATCCACAACTCAATTAAACTCTGCTAGCTTCTCTGATATCTTAAGAGCCAGCATCTCAATATTTTACTAAATACTTCAGAATTATAACCACAATGTAAAACAGTTTAAAAAAGTTTACAGAGGAGAGAACAAATATTACACAAATTAAAAGAAAAAGACGACCTTGAGGAACCTTTGTGGTAACCGAGGCTTTATGTGACCTCTGCTGATTAAATACCAACAAAGTTAATCAGTTTGAAATGCTGCCTTCCCCTTTCTGCCTCTTCCAGCTCCCTCTCTCGGCAGCCTGTCATCTTTCGTGATGCTGCCACTCCCCGACGACGAGGTCGCTGTCCAGCTACAGAAACTAGTAGATCAGTGTCGCCATGGCAACAACTACTGCAAACAAGTCCTCAGCCTCTACCAGCTATCCAAGGTACCACCAGTCCACCCAACACTGCGCCTACATGAGAAATACGTGTCCTGTATAAACTATTTAAAGGATCCACATGAGACCTTTCAAACAGGATAAACTATCTTTAACGCGTTGTGTTTTGTGTCCAAGGAGCTGCAGTGTTCCTTCAGTCAGGTCTACGGGGAGGAACCTCGCTCGGTGCTGGAGAAGCTGCTGCTGTCGGACCAGCCGGAGCGCTTCAGGAAGGCTCAGGCCTTCATCAAAGCTCAGGGTCTGTCTGCAGACTCTGTGGCCGAGCTGGTCTCCTCTGCTCTGGTCCAGTCGCTGCTGGCCTCCACTCAGGAGCTGCAGCCTGGTGAGATCACGGGTTATCTAAATATTCTGGTTTCTACAGAGCTCAGACTTGGAGTGATACAAGTGAAATGTCTTAACTTTCTGTAGAAACAATTAAGATATTTTGGCTTCCTCTTGAGGTGGACACCATGGAAGCAATAATCTTTATTTGATGCAGCACTTGGTTGAAATGGTAGAAGGTTAACAGCAGTAGTAGTAATAAAATAGTAAAAATGTTGGTTTCTTCAAGCCTCTCCTGTGAAATCTGAGTTTTTTGGGGTTGTTTAGTCAATAAAATGTCAGAAAATAGTTAAAAAAAATATGCCCATCACATGTTTCTAAGAGCCCAAGGTGTCGACATATTGATTTTGTCCATCCAGCAATCCCAAGATATTGTAGAGTCTTTTTCATTTGTAGCCTATTCAGGAACTGGCAACTAGAATAGGCTGTAAATACTGCGGTGTGTGGCAGTGGTCTATGCTGTATACTTGTTAATGTAAAACAAACATGAAATAATAAATAAAAAGTACATTTACAATGATATAAAACACATCCCCTTAAAGGAAAGTACCTCGACATTGTACTCGAGTAAAAGTACTTTCTACTCTCTCTTAATACACTAACAATCTCGGTAATGATGAATTATAAGAAAAAAATAAAGTTTACGGACAAGAGAACAAAAACTAGTCAAGTCGAAAAAAGCATAGGCCCTAAAAGTGAACCCTGAGGAACTCCTGCTAACCATAGGTTGACCAGAGGAGGCTTTATGAGAGACATATGACCTCTGCTAATCTAAAGGTGCAGTGTGTAACATTAAAAATATTCATAGGTATGTTTTCATTAGTGTATAATCACCTGAAAATAGGAATAGTTGTGTTTTTGTTACCTTACAATGAGACGTTTTTATCTACAGAGGCAGTAGTTAGCTGCTAGCATCAGTTTTAATAATCAGCTCTGAAAGCAGGCGGCCAATAAGAGCATGTGTTTGTGTGTGTGTGCAACCCAGCAGAGAGGCAGGTGTTCAGGGCGTCGGAGGGCCGGGACTCGCTGGTGCAGCTGATCAAACTGTGTGACGATCCGAACCTGGTGGGAGTCAAACTGCTGGAAAACCTCAACGCTGTTCCACTGCGAGACCTGAGCTGCAGTAAGACACCAACACACATAAACACACAGAATCTATCAGCATGTTTTAAGAGTAGAGTGTGAAGTGTTTAAAGAGGCATTAGAAGATGTCCACACTTTGTTTTAGCTGCCATTTTACTGTTCACTTTAATAAGGTATTTAAAGCTTCTCTATGTAACTGTCATTAAACTGTAGTTAACAGCGCCACCAGTGGTCGTTCAGTTAACTGCACTCAGCGTCCTGTTGCTCGTACACAGTCTGTAGGGATCCGGACAACCCCACCTTAGCTTTATTTAGCACCTTTCAGCTAATTGTTTTGGATTCGGTCTCAGCAACAGTTACCAGCTGCACACTATCTGCTATCAATCACTATATAAAAATATAAAGTCCTTTCTTCTCCCTCTCCTGTAGTCGTCGAGTTGCTGATCGTGGCTCACGACTGTTTCAGTCTCACCTGTAACATGGAGGGGATTGTCCGCGTGCTCCAAGCCGCCCGTCACCTCAGCCACACCTACCTCGCCCCGGGAGAGCACTACAGCCTGCTGGTAAGCCCCGCCCATCGACCCACAGACTCTCACTGCTCTGAAAAGTATATAAATCCACCGGAAGATTTCTAATAGGCTTTTCTTCCTTCTTGTGCGAGCAGGTACGTCTGCTGACGGGTATCGGCAGGTACAATGAGATGACGTACGTCTTTGACCTGCTGCATCAGAACCACCGCTTTGAGATGCTGCTGAGGAAGAAAGTGGACACGGACAGAAGACAGGTGAATCTGAACATTCAGAGTCAATTACATTTCGCTTCTCCAGGCTATAGCTCACTAATGCTAACTAGTAAAGTCATCAGTCCCTTTGAAATCAGTCTTTCCATCGCCACATTTTAGCCTAACTTTGGAGCGTTATTTAGCCTCGTTGGTGACAAATTCTTTATCTCGATCTTAATCCTGGTGGTTCCCTGTGGTTGCAGAGCTCCAGTCTGAAGACAGCTCTGCTGGATTACATAAAGCGCTGCCTCCCTGCGGACAGCGAGAAGCACAACATGGTGGCGTTGTGTTTCAGCATGAGGAGGGAGATCGGAGAAAACCACGAGATGGCCGCCAGAACACAGCTGAAGATCATCGAGTCTCAGGCCTGGGGTGAGCCAAAAAACACACTGAAAACTCAATGTGCCTCTGAATGTGAATGTTGGTTCTGACCTTTTGAACTTATCTCTGAGCAGTTGTCACTCCTGATCTGAAGAGTTCTTTGCTCAAAGTGTTGGGTCTGCTGAAGGACGCCGCAGAGAGCTTCTCCAAGGTACCTGAATGCCTCCGCACGTCGTTCTGCTCCTTCCTTTAATGCCGCGAAAAATATAAATATAGACTCTGTGTGTTTCCAGGACTCGTGTGTCCGTCAGGCAAGTCGCTGTGTTCGGACGGCCAAGCTGGTCGCGCTTCAGCTGCACTTCCTGAACCAGGGATCAGACCTGCGCGTCATTAACCTGCGACCTGCAGAGCTGCTGAACGCCGTCACGTCGCTGCCACGATGCTACCAGGTCTGTTTGGTTGTCCTACACGAAGAATATGGAATTACTTTAGCATGTTAGCAACGGTTAGTCAAGTGTTCACTTAGTTAATAAACAGCAAGCGTAGCCCAAACTGACAATACTCTAACATACAGTATAGTGTGTTAACCCACATACAGTTAGTAACATTATATACCATTATCATTAAATGATTTAGCTTCATTAGCATATTAATGTGGTAATGTTTGGCATGTTAACATGCTAACATGTTAAATGTTAACTCCTGCTAACAAGTTAAACGTTGTTCACCAATGTGTCACATGTTGCACACAACAAATAATAATAATAATAATAAATAATAATAATCAGAAATTAAAGTTGCTAAAGTGCGTGTTAGCATTCCAGATCCAGAACCACAGACCTCCTCAGACCTCTGCAAACCTGTACAGCCCTGCAGACAGCAGGTCACACCCAGTGCTTTGTCTCTCAGGTGTTCGTGGTGTCGGAGGCGTACAGCTACAGTCCGGACTGGGCCGAGATCCTCTACCAGAAGGTGGTCCTGAAGGGAGACTTTGTGTACCTGGAGGAGCTCAAACGCCACCGTCCGCTGACCTCCAGCCTGTTTGAGGACATTTTCAAAAAGTAAGACGGCTTCAAGCAGCTCATAAATAACCTGAAACCACCTGATCCCGTCTCACCTGTTTGTGTGTGTTTCAGACTGGAGGGTTCTCCCAGCAGCGTCACTCCCAACGTGAAGCGCCTGCTGACGCACTGTGATGATGTGTACAGCCGCTATAGGCTGGCCTACCAGCAGAACCTGTACGATGTCACCAAAACGCTGCTGCAGGACACCAAGACCTCGAGCTACCTGAACGACAGGCTGGCCAGCTGATTGGCCGACTGAGGCCGACAGAACCAACAATACCGCCCGTGTACAATACGTATTTATAACACCGCTTTGTCTTTTCTAACCCGTCTTCTGTGGAGAGTCATTCAAATCTGTAATTAACTTCTCACAAAATAAAAAATCTGTTTCGATTACAAACTTACATTAAAGACTTTAGAAACTGTTTTGTATCAATATCTCGAATGCTGCAGATTTCTCTGTTTTTTTTTTCTTTCTGACGAGCTCTGTGGCTGTTTGTTTCCCTTTGTGCACCGATACTTGCTCAGAAATCACAGGCTTTTTTGTAGTCAGTTGCTGAAGTTTATGTTTTTATTTTTATTAGTTGACTAAAGTGTTTTTTCACAACTAGTTTTAGTTTTAGTGAACTATAACAACCTTGTTGTGTCACAGAGCAGGCCCAACCCTTTATAGGAGATATTTCTACTTAAGATGTAAACTTTGAAGAGCTGAACACTGTCTATTGATAGCCTCGTCCTGCATTAGAGCTCAGGGGACGAAAACACCTAATATGGCAACAAAAAGACGCCTGGTAAGTCTGTATGATAATTAGAAATTGTAAATACACATAATACAAACAGAGGTTTGTATAGAAAGTTCCTGAAAATATCAGGAAAACTAATCTCTGATCAATATTCACAGGAAAATAATCTGCTCAAAGTTCATCCAAATCTCTGGTTTCACACAACCCTCCTGTAGTTGTTGTTATGAAATATCCATAAAATATGTCAGTTTACTAAATGATAGAAAAAGGTTGGGAACCAGTGCAGAGGGGACCGTTGTTGGGAATAAATTCTCTCCTGTTGGATTCAAACTGATGAAAGATGCAGTTCTCTGTTCCTCCACCAGGTGGCAGTCCTTGCTCAGTGTCTGTACTCTGTGATCAGACTGCTGCAGTTGGCTCAGATTGGACATTACAATGAAATCACGATTAAAGTGCTGATTAGCTGCAGAGATATTGAAATGTTTTTTTAGTGAGAACATGTGAGATCTCTCCGGCTGTAGAATCTCTTGTTTTTACTTCATCAGCTTTTTGTGACATTTCCTCTAGCCATTGACAAGATCTTTCAGACACTCTACTCTTACGTTTGCTTTGTGTTCTTGTGGCTGCTAATCGAGCGGGAATTAAACCCCGTCTGTCTCTGGACGGCGTGCACACGACAGTTATGTCTGCAGCCTCCAAATCCTCTCAGGTTTCACAGAGGTTAGAACTTCCTGCTCGTTATGGTGTTGAATTGGCTGTGAATGTTAGACGGTAGATTTCCCCCCCTCCTCTCTCTCTCTCTCTCTCTCTCTCTCTCTCTCTCTCTCTCTGTGACCCGCCTGTTTATCGTCTCTAATGGAGAAGGTCATTAAGAAAACGAGCTCATTATTCAGCTCTAATTAGCAAATGAATCAGCAGTCTATATCATGCTCGGTGGAGCAGAGAAACGTCTTCGCACTACAGAAAACTAAGTTCATATTTACTTGTTTATTTACTGTTTCTACTCCGTGATGATGGGAAACTACATCGTGACCTTTGACCTTCATGAAGGACGATGAAGGACAAATGTTTGAAAGTTGAAAACAGGCCCTCAGTCTGTCCAAAATCAGACTAACGCACTGCCTTCTACATTCAGTATGTACTGCATACTGCATCGAGTATGTCGGCTGATGTTCAAACGTACGTCTGCTCATATCTACAAAATAAAACTTATAAAAGCTAGAAGGAACCCGGAGGTTGATCCTACATGTAATCAATGAAAACCTGTCCCTGGCAAACTGAATTTTGGAAGTGTTCTGGATTTCTGCCAATGTGACAGAAAATGCATCCCATTCCCCTGCAGCAACAGTGTATGCACCTTTACAGGTATCTTATAATGAGGTGGAATCAGAGAGGTGTTGATTCAACTCTGTGTTCAATCTTGAGCCTAGAATAGAATAGAATAGATCTTAATGTCCACTTAGGGAGATTTGTTTTGGACTATGTCCTGAGGAAACCTTGACATGACCTTTCTCCAGGGCCGTCGAGTTCTGCTCCCAACAAGGTTTAGATCTGGCTTTGCCCCAGAACGAGAAGGAGAACATTGCACTGACTCAGTTCTTCGGGGACGTTTACAAAGAAGCCTGGATCAACGTCAATAATAAAAAAACAGAGGGGAACTAGATATGAAAAACCGACCTCTGACCTTCACCAAATGGGTAGAAGGGCAGCCAGACAAATCCACTGAGGCTACAGGCTGCACCATGCTGTCAGAAAATGGCGTCTGGCGAGTGACACACGAGTGCTTCCTGAATGCTTACATTATTTGTCAGTTATAGAGAGTTCTTGTATCACCTGCAATACCTGATCTTAGAGTGTAAAGTGTTTCAGTTTGGTCTTGACTTAACTGTGGATAACTATTGTAAAAGTGATGTCTGTAAAGGAAGAAAATGTATTAGAATTTGTGATTCCAGGCAATTAAAGCATATTGACCTTAACCCTTTGCTTATTTTCATGGAGACCAACCAAACTCACGCTTGTTTACTCTTTTTAATGTCAATAAATGGATCAAAATGATGCTGCAATAACAGCATCATAAGAGCGATTTGTTTATATTTCTATTATTTGTTTTAACGTGTTAGAATTTAGTTATATTTTTGTAAGTTGACAACAGGCTACAATGCTGAAATACCGTTTTTAGAGAGTAAGAAGATTTTGGACAGTGGTGCAAAATGTTCACAAATTCACCTTACATATTAAAAGTAAGTCATTGTATTCAATTGTAAACCTGACGGGAGGAACAAAACAGAGCTGCATTAAGAGGTGGAATGACACTCTAAAAGGAGAAGTCGTTCAACGTCATTTTCGTCAAATGAAACTGAAAGTGTATGAGAGCAACAGCTGAGCTGCAGTCCAGACATGTGTCTCTGTCACTCAAGGTTTTCTCAACAACACAGCAGAGTCTGTCTCAAACACTGGTGAGTACAGCTCATAATAACTCCTGTTAAAATTCAGTTTTAAAGGGGAACTGGGCAACTCTAGCCATTTCTTCACTGGTTTTCACTTTTGTTGTCGCATGTTTTCTCAACGAGCTCCCCCTACAGCTCTGGGACGTATATTTCAAAACAGAGGTGGGTAATACATTCATCGTCGCTTGTCCTTATAGCCGGTGTGGCTAACCGGTATTGAGGGGGGGTGTGCATTTATGTGGAATTGCCGTAAAGCAGTTTGTGTTTCTCGCTCGTTCTTGCTTCTCGCGATACTTCCTATTTCCAACTTAATGGGACGGTAGTCCCAAAGTTGCAAGCTTGGTTTTCCACCTGGGGACGCTAGGGGGAGTGGGGACAGTCACCATTAACACCAGAATGGTCATTTAACCATCCAAATGATTTCTAAACGGGTTTATTAAGTTGAAAAAGTTGCCAAATTCCCCTTTAAAACCAAAACTTCAGCTCTACTCAGGGAAATTCCACTCTTTTCATTTTATACTTGATGCTGTCGAATGGAACACGTTGCTGTGATTAAAATGCACTTAACACTTAACAATTATGGAATATGTGAAATATGAAACTTTGAACTTTGTTCTCAGGGTTTAGATATGTTTACTGCCAGCTGTCTGCTGACTGAAGATCAGTTTCTGTGCTCCATCTGTCTGGATGTGTTCACTGATCCAGTCACCATACCATGTGGACACAACTTCTGTAAAACCTGCATCACTGAACACTGGAATATCAATGTCCAGTGTCAGTGTCCCAACTGTAACAAGGTTTTCAACACAAGACCTGAGCTGAAGGTCAATACTTTCATATCTGAGATGGCTGCTCAGTTCAGACAGTCAGCTCAACAGAAAGCCAGCAGCAGCAGCAAACTGAAGGCCCTGAAGTCCTGGCTGGTCTCCTACTGTGAGACTCACCTGACAATGTCAGGCCTGAAGAGATATCACCTGGAAGACAGGATGTGTACGAAGCACGATAAACTGATGGAGCTGTTCTGTAAGACCGACCAGATGTGTGTCTGCATGCTCTGCACTGTTTTAGACCACAAGACACATGATGTTGTTCCTCTGAAAGAAGAATATGAAGAAAAGAAGGCTGAGCTGAGGAAGACAGAGGCTGAAATTCAGCAGATGATCCAGAAGAGACAACTGAAGATTCAGGAGATCAAACGCTCAGTGGAGCTCAGTAAGGAAGGTGCAGACAGAGAGATAGCAGATGGTGTTCAGGTCTTCACCGCTCTGAAGGAGTCTGTTGAGAGAAGCCATGCCGAGCTCATCCACACGATCAAAGAGAAGCAGAGAAAGACAGAGAAACAGGCTGAAGACTTCATCAAAGAGCTGGAACAGGAAATCTCTGAGCTGAAGAAGAGAAGCTCTGAGGTGGAGCAGCTCTCACAGTCTGAAGACCACCTCCACCTCCTCCAAAGCTTCCTTTCCCTTAACGTTGCTTCATCCACCAAGGACTGGACAGAAGTCAGTGTCAGTCAACCTTCATATGAGGGGACTGTGAGGAGAGCTGTGAATCAGCTGGAGGAGACGCTCAGTAAACAGATAAAGAAGCTGCTTGAGGCCGGGCTGAAGAGGGTCCAGCAGTATGCAGTGAATGTATCACTCAATCCTCGTACAGCACATCATGCTCTCATCCTGTCTGATGATGAGAAACAAGTGTATGATAGTGATGTAGAGAAGAATCTCCCAGACAATCCAGAGAGATTTGATCGTTGTCCCTGTGTCTTAGCAAAGCAGAGTTTCTCTTCAGGAAGATTTTATTACGAGGTTCAGGTTAAAGGGAAGACTGACTGGGATTTAGGAGTGGTCAGAGAGTCGATCAACAGGAAGGGAAAAATCAAACTGAAACCTCAGAATGGTTACTGGATGATATGGTTGAGGAATGAAAATGAGTACGAAGCTCTTGCTGACCCTTCAGTCTGTCTCTCTCTGAAGTCTCAGCCTGAGAAGGTGGGGGTGTTTGTGGATTATGAGGAGGGTCTGGTCTCTTTTTATGACGTTGATGCTGCAGCTCTTATCTACTCCTTTACTGGCTGCTCCTTCACTGAGAAACTCTACCCATACTTTAGTCCCAGTAATAATAATAAAGGTAAAAACTCTGCCCCTCTGATCATCTCTCCTGTCAATCACACTGAGTAGAACAACCATTTGATTTTTACCAAATTCACTTCTTCCTTGGAGTTTTTGAGCTTTCTCATCTTGCATTGCATTAATGGGACATGAATGTTTGCAGGAAAAGAAGGAGAGGAAGAGAGGAGCTAAGTCATCATTTTTTAGGCAGACTTTATTTGTCATTTGGATTTGCATCAAAATGAAATTACGATGCAGTGGCACATAGCACAACAGGAATAAAGGGGAGGCAGTATGCACAGTCTAAGAATAGATATGCAAATATAAAAGAGAGAGAAAAAAAACTTTTATATTAAAAAAAACCTGTAGATAAAATATATTGCAGTGTAGTTGCCTATATCATGCCTATCATGGGAACCCCCCGGCAGTCTAAACTTATAGCAGCATAACTAAGGGATGGTTCAGGACTCACTCACTTAGGACTGTGGTACATACCCTGAAACTAAAGAAAGATTGATCATATACAGTAAAGAGCTGCCAACTATGGGTAAGATTTCTTTAAGCAGCCTGGTTGGGATGGGGTCTAAGAGACAGGTTGATGGCTTTGATGAAGGAATTGTTGAAGTTAACTGATGCAAATTGATAGCAGTTGTCCTGTGTTTGAAGAGCCATCGGTACATATTTAGGGCAGGCGGTGATTCATTTTGTCTCAATAATTCAAAAGTTATTAAATAATGGTCATATAGGAAAGGATTATGTGGGAAGACTATTAAATGTTCCACATGAATATTAAAATCACCTACAATAATTACTTTACCTGATTTTGCTCTGCTTCCTGGTCCCAACTCTGGACTGTCAGGTTTTAGAAATAAACTTTGATTCCTAGATAAGAGAGCCGCTCCATCCAAAGAGGGATGGATGCCATCTCTCCTAATCAGACCAGGTTTTTCCCAAAAAGGCCGCCAGTTATCAATGAAGCCCACATCATTTTCTGGACACCACCTCGACAGCCAGCGGTAGACTGATGATATGCGGCTATACATGTCATCACGACATTGACTTTACATATTTACATATTTACATTCCCATTCAACATTAACTTTGGTAAACTCCGGCATAATCGGGCGTAACTACCGCTGACGTGAATAACTATTTTGCTCTATTTACGTTTATCCTTAGCCAGTAGTTTTAAATACGATTCAGCGCCGCCCGCTCTGGCCCCAGGGATGTATTTAACTACGGTCGCTGGCTTCGCTACCTTCACAAATCTGATTATTGAGCTGCCAATAACCAGAGTTGGTTTCATTTAAATGCATATTAACTGCATTACCTGCCTGTTAAACTGTTACATCATCAGAAACAATCTACGCAGCAATAAGAATTTTCATGTTCTTTAGATGTCTGGCTGCCAAATTCAAACCTTTTATTGTTTGATCATTGTATATCTAGTGTTGCATACTAGCATTAATTACTGTAGAGTCTTCCATAAATGAGACAAAACTCATTTGCTTTTCTGTCTTTTTCTTCGGAAATAAATAAAATCTAAATAAAGTTTTGATTGTATTTGATTCATTTATTGTGTTTTTGATTGATATCAAATCTGAAAAACAGCTGATGGTGTTTCTAATGAGCACCAAATCATGTGATTAATTTGATTAAAAACACCGTCAGCTGATGAGCTCCAATAGCCCATCACCTCTGAGATAGTTGGTCGTGTAGGAAAGTGTTTGCAGAGTGACATCTGAGGACGCCCTCAAGTGGAGTTCATAACAAACTACAGCCTGTGGCCTCATGAGAAAACTCTTTATAAATAACTACACAGTCTGATGCTGAGCAGCTGGTGACCCCCGGCAGATATATTCTCTCCCGGTATGTCTGTGCCACGGAGCAGTAAAATCCTCCCTGATTGCCTTTTTAAAATGAGTGGACGTTTTATTTCTTTTCCTGGAGGAGCTGCTGGCCGTCCTGGCAGCCGAGTGTTGGGTGAATAACAGCCAGGCTCATTCTGCCTCAGTTCAGCCTTCACCGCCAGCCAAATCACAAATGACACGCAATGAAAGCAGGAAAGGAAACGAGTTTCCCCAGAGAACAATCTGGAAAATTACTCTCTATTCACACAGACCGGGAGAGTATTGACAGAGTCATACACACTCTCACAGCAAATCAGCTTTCTGTTGCATTTTATCAGAACAGTCTCAAAACATCTGCTGCTGTCTGTCTGTCTGTCTGTCTGTCTGTCTGTCTGTGTCTCAGCATTTCATTGGATTAATCCAGGTTTGGCACCCACAACTCCTCACAAATAATACCTCTGTGTGTTTGTGTGTGGAGCTAAGAGACTTCTCCATGCTACAGATTATGTATTTAAACACATTAATAGGATGTTGTTTCAGATCACGATAACACAGCCCCCGACTCGATCTGCTTCTATAACTATTGAGTCCTGCAGATCTCAGGGGAAAAAAACTCTTGCATGACTTATTTTATGCTCTTGAATGATTTCATACGCACTAATTAACAATACCACGTTAAACAATATAGTGAACATTTGTAAGCACTGAGGTCAGACTGTGAAGAATTTGAGAGGATGTTGATCCTGTCCTATTCACCCTGAGAGTTCTGCAGTGTCAGATTCTTTTGACAAGATCTTAAACCTTAATCAGCTCCTTTGCCTCCTTGAGACAAACCAGTGACTGCGGCAGACACAGAGCGAAATTGGGGGTTGGGGTTAGGATCCTGACAACTGTGTACACAGTGCGGATGAATGTGAAAAACAATATTAATGTGAAGTAATAAATTCAGTAGCTGTTAGCTTGCTGCTAACACTCCACCGCAACTGACGCTGAGAAAACGACCTTTTGTTCCTTTATAGTACACAAATTATTAACATGTGAGCACTCTTCCGTGGTTCATCGAGGATATGGCCATGTGCGTTGCAATCTACCGTCTTTGACTCAATTCAACTAAATCAATAACATAAGTTATCCCAGGACACTTTTCAAATGGAGCAGGTCTAGACCGAACTCCTTATAACGTTATTTACAGAGACCCAACATTTCCCACAATGAGCAAGACCTTGGGAAACCTGGGACAGACCCTTTGGCTCTAGGTGGCCAGTTGGGGGGGAGAGGGAGAGAGAGAGAGAGAGAGAGAGAGAGAGAGAGAGAGAGAGAGAGAGAGACAAAGGTTCACAGCAACAACAATAGCAATTTTATCATTAAAGAGGATCATGAAGTCATTGCTGCTGAGGGTTTATGGGAATACATGGCTTCTTCCAGTAATGGCAACACTGGGAAGTTTTTCAAATAGCACACAAAAGGATCCACATTAGAGATGTCTAAGAAAATGCATTTATTTACAAAGAGCAGAGTGGACAGAGAGCAGCCTGACTGCTTCACATCATGAACATATCGACCACAATCATTCAAACTTCATCCCTGAAATCACAACCTGGTCTGTGAGCTGGAGAATAAATGTTTAATCTCATCTTCTTGATCGAGCGTTCTGCAATAATTTGAACATTTGAACAAAATAAGCTCTATTTGGGAGTAACTTCAGGTGCCAATGAGGGAACGTTGCGTAACCTCCAACTGTCCAGAGCTGCTGGGTGGAAGAGCTTAGTGGAAAATGTAAAGATTTTAAAACAGTGTTTTTTTTTCAAGAGTCCCTCTGTGGCATTGATTCAGCTATTTTCTGCTGCAGCTGGTTACCAAAGCACATTTGCATATTTTACTGAATTTAAAACGTTCAAAGAATAGTTTTTATAGCCGGGCAGAAGTATTGACGACGTAAACGCTAAAACCAGGATCACATCAGAGAGACTCGGTTGATGTGTGGATAAACTCCTTCATTTGATTTCATTGCTGATTAATGCGAGCTAGCAATTAGGACTGTATCTGAACATAATGAACGTCACATAAGGAATTGACCCTTGCGCCCTTTTTGCTCTGTGCTCCAATCTCCTCTTTTCCTGTACTTAGATATGCTACATGCTAGGCTAATCTATGTTGAAAGGACAACCACATCTTTTGTTAGATAATGTTAGCAAAACAAAAAAATGGCCACTGACAGGGTTATCGAGTGTCCTGGAAAAACTGGAAATTGATGATAAATCCTGGAAATAATCTATGTTGTCCTGAATTTTTTCTTTTTTAAGTAATTTTTTTTTGGCCTTTTTGTTGCCTTTATTTGATAGTTACAGCCAAAGATAGACAGGAAAGGGGGGCAGAGAGAGGGGACGACACTCAGCAAAGGGCCACAGGTCGGACTCGAACCCCTGGCCGCTGCAGTAAGGACTCAGCCTCGGTACATGGGTCGCCGGCTCTAACTGGGCGCCCTGTCCTGAATTATTTTATAGTATTTTAGCTCCTCAATCTGATCGCCTATATAAACCTTGTAGACACGTAAAAGCAACTTTACCAGACACATAATAGAAAAACGCTCCCTTTTCATTTCAATCTAGCTGTTCAAACAAGACATGACGTAGAGTTGCAGCAATCTTTTTGGCACTAAGTCTATTTTCTCCGCAGCCATGAGCCGAATATTTAGTGAAGTTCAATGGAAAAGCTGTAAATGTTCATATCTACATACAAACAGCCTCTTAGTGATCAAATGTGTTGTTGTGGTTGTAAATGCACGGCGATGTTAGTTGTTTGTGCAACAAATACTTTGGCTGTCGTGAGAAAGTGAGCGAACGTGGAGCGTCCGACAAACGCTGACCCCCGATCTGTAAAGACCTACTCTGCTCTTAATGTAGCTGCCTTGAAATCAAAAAGTTTGCACGAGACAAAGTTCATTATACAGGTGTACAATTATTTACTGACCTGAAACAGTTAAAGGACCAGTGTGTAAGATTTAGTTACACATTACAACCATTTGAATACAGCTCAGCCTTTCAACCATAGAGAAGAAACTACATTCCTAAAGTCAGTGTTTGGTTTGTTCCTTCTGGGCTACTGTAGAAACATGGCGGACTCCGCCAGAAGAGTTTCCGCTCCCTCTGTAGATAAAAACATCCTAACGTAATGAAAACACAATGATTCTTATTTTCAGCTGATTAAACATTAATAGTCGACTTGCCAGCAACGTGAACCCAGAAATGTTGAGTCGCACAAAGTTTTATCTTAGAAATATACAGTTTGCATTTAGAAACTGCCAGATGATAACTTACATATGTCGGGTAATTAGCATTAATAGCATTAATAGATCACCTATATGGACAATACTCCATTAACTAGTTGGCTGATTTGGACAATTGACTCTGAATCCATTTCTGACATTTTCAAAATACAAAATGGCCATTTTAACTGGAAGTGGAATTAATTTCAACTCCAGGAGGGCTGATTTTGGTTATTTGTATGCATAACCTAATGTCCTAGGTTTCTGCCTCTTAAAAGGAAGTTTTTCCTTGCCCTTGTCTCCAAGTGCTTGCTCATGGTGGGAACTGTTGGGTCTCTGTAAATAATGTTATAAAGAGTTTGGTCTAGACCTGCTCTATTTGAAAAGTGTCCTGAGATAACTTCTGTTATGAGTTGGCGCTATACAAATAAAATTGAATTGAATTGCATTGAATTGATTAATACATCTCACATGCATTTGAGAATAAAGAAAGCTCTTTGTCGCTGAATGTTTGAGGTAATATTTCTTAAGCTCTGCTGCTGGTGTTGTTTTGTCACTGAGCTGTGTCTTTGCTGCTGCGGTTATGTAATATTCAAATAAACAACCTCAAAAGCAACTCGAAAATGTAATAAAATTAGCCCACCAGGAGTTCAAATATGGTCATTTCCAGCTTAATTTTTATACTTTGATGTTTGAATGTCAGAAATAGATTCACCCAAAATTATTAATGCTAATTATGCAAATTGCCCAACATATCCAAGTTAGCATCTCTCAGTTTCTAAACGCTGGGGACACATACTTTATATTTCTATCATTAAACTTTGGCATATTTAATATTTCCCGGTTTACAATTGGACCCTATTGGCTGGCAAATAGACCATAATGAAAACATACCCATGAATATTATATCCCATTTCTGACAACAGATCCTCCTAAACGTTACACATTGGACCTTTAAAAGAGATAAATGGTGTCAACACACCACTTTTATTTTTTAAAGAGTCTGATGCCTCTATAAGATTCAGCATGATGTCCTTTTGTAGTCCAACTCTGAAGTTAGCATCGCCCTGGTTTCTTCAGTGGGATTTACCCATTGGATTTTTGGATATATATATAAGCTCTGTGGAGAACAGAAGGTTTATGATACACATTTCTATGGCCACAAATGGCTCTATTGATAGTAATGGTTGCTAAACTAAACCAATTGCTTCTTGTCTTAATCTTCTCATTAAGAAAGTGAATGAGAGTATTTCCCAAAAAAGTCAAAGTATTCATTTAACATTTGCTTTTCCAACAGGAGGAAACAGCCAGACAAGCAACCATTGAGATATTTTCCTCAATATTTTGGAATAAATATGGAGAATACTGAGCATTGGGACAGTTATCTTCATTGTTAAAATGGGTCATGGTTGAAATCCCTTGTAAGTGAGCCTTAAACTATAAATTAAATGAACTTTATATTTCATTCGGAACCAATGGGCTTTGGGTCTTTACATTTGATTTGTTGACATTAATAAAAATAAAGACAGCAGATATCAGCTGTCAGCCGACGGCTCTCCTCCTCCTCAGCTGAAGAAATCTTTAGAAATGGCCTCCACAAAGTTGGGAGCCGACATGAGGATACCGATGGTGCACAGGATGGTGAAGAGCGAGAATGCAACCAGACACAACCGGTCGATCACTGCCGCAGCAAACTTCCACTCGTTGCAGACCGTCTCCTCCTCGTCCTGGCCGCGGAAACGGCTGGCGATGTATCTCACCTCCTCCAGGATCTGGTTCAGCTCTGCCTCCAGGGTCGAGCCCCCTACTGCTCCTCCTCCTCTTCCTCCGGCTCCAACACCCGCTCTCAGTGCGTCCTCTTCCCCGCCCACACCACCTCCCACGAGCCGTGAGCAGAGGAGCTCGGGTTCGGTAGTGGAGGCGTAGTGCAACCCCTCCATGCCCCGGAAGCCGACGTACAGGAGGTTGCCATTGGTTACCTGCGGATGTCGCAGAGACCCCTGACTGACGCTGAGCTCCAGGCTGGACAGGCTGCCGCGCCGACGCTTGGTGGCGTTGTGGCACGCCAGACGGACCTTTGCCTCGCCAGGACGCCGCATGCGCAGGAACCAGGCGCACCAGTTCAACAATATCACACGGGTCTGAGGAAGAAGAGGAAAAGGAAGAGGAACAAAGGTGAGCGATGAAAACATTTCACTATAATTGTTTTTGTGGGATTTGTTAGTGATTTCTTGATCATTTCTGATTCATCTCAATTATAAAGTGATATTATTTCCCACAATTAAAATTTTGGGGGATGAATGGATGAAATTTACAGTCATCTACTAAATATCTACTGTTGTTAAAATGAAAAATTTAATTTTAACCCTTTAAGATCTCATCCTCAGTCATATTGTTCCCCTATTTAACAATGTATGCCAAAAAATTTACGAAAACTCAATTTCTTGAGGTCAGTTTGAAGACAGCAGTATCCAGGTGATTTACAGTTTTGCTAAAACAAAACCTTAAAACAAATTTCATAAAGATAAAGAATTTGAATAAAGCGATTCATCGGATTAAGTGAGTTAGTCCCTAAAGGCTGAACGAGTAGGATTTGTTGTGTTTAGTGAGCTAGAGAGTGAATGAAGAGAGGGAAGAGAGCATTCAAACATTTCGGCGGTTCTGTTCTAAAGCACAATAAACCTCTGCACACAAGGAGCCACATTGCCGGATTTTGAGGATTTAAGGTCTGCTCAAACAGACCAATTTGTATGTTGATTTAGACTTTTAACGTCACCGTTATAAAAGAAGCTGCAAACTATTCACTACAGTCCCGAACGTCAACAGAATTTACACAGTGTTATTAGCTAAAACGTAGATGTTCGACTCAGGATGGCGCCCTTAGCTTCCACGTCTTTAAATACTCAAGTTAACAGATGAATTCAAGTCCTAATTTGTCTTTTTAAATATAATTTTGGATCAAACTGAACCTCCAGTCAAAAGGTTGTGTACACTTATTATATATGTACTTACTTACTGAAATATTGTATTAAATATTGTAATATTTGTGCCTGGTTGCTAAAGAAGAAGAAGGAGAAGAGAGTGTAAACCTGACCTGTATATCTGAAACTCGACTTTACAAAATGCTAAAATATTTCCATAAAAACAAGTTGATTAAAATTCATTTATGCAGAAACATGTTTATGCGGAAAAATGTGCATGTACATGAGCGAGATATGAGTTCATGTGTAACATATGTGTGTGTGTGTGTGTGTGTGTGTGTGTGTGTGTGTGTGTCAGCCGGATATAAAAATAGAGCATGAATAAAGTGGATCCGTGGCTGTTCAGCTCTCAGAGGAAATCTTCTCCTAAAGTCCAATATTTCACTTCACACTCAGCTCAAGAGGTCATATTATGCCCATTTTAATTTCATACTTGTGTTTGGGGGGGTCTACTGTAATAGGTTTACGTGCTTTAATATTCTTGAAAACATGTTATTTTTCTCATATCGGCCACTGCTGCAACACCTCTATGCAGCCTCCCTACTCTGCCTCTGATTGTTGTTCTGGCGTCTGCAAATTAGCTCAAAATTGTTGAAACGGAAAGCAAAGTGCTACTTGCTTTCTGTAAAAACAGGCAGTTAAGGAGGCACTTAGCGCTAAATGTGTGGTACATCCCCCCCCACCATGCAGCTTAGCTGACTGTGCTGGACTGGGAGCTCCCAGTGAACAGCACAGCCAGACCGGGACCAAATACAGCATCCGATCCTGGAACCCCGGGGCTGACGTTAGCTACACAAGCTAACTTGCTAAGGCAGCTAGATGGATGAAACTTGTTTGTTTATCTAAAACACACCAAGCTTCTGAAAAGGGTTAACAGTTCAGTTCAGTTTTATTTGTATAGCGCCAATTCATAACAGAAGTTATCTCAGGACACTTTTCAAATAGAGCAGGTCTAGACCGAACTCCTTATAACATTATTTACAGAGACCCAACAGTACCACCATGAGCAAGACCTTGTTGAGGGCGGCAAGGAAAAACCTCCTTTTAAGAGGCAGAAACCTCGGACAGACCCTTCGGCTCTAGGTGGGTGGCGTTGAAAGCTGTATCGTACATACAAACTTTGCAACATTTTCTGTCTTTTGATGCAGGTTTCAGACGCCACAGAGGAGTCATGGCTTGAAAAGCTCCAGTGCCGGCTGGTTAGCTCTGTTAGCTCTGACTACCAGCAGCTGTAATCCTGCTACTCTAAGCAGTCACACTCCAGGCCATGCCCCTTATAATGGTCCTCTCTTCTGCTCTCTGCAAGCACAATTTGGAGGGTTTAGTTACACTTCACAGAAGCAACTTTGTGACTGAAAGGTTGAACTGTCAGGATCAACCAAGCAGAGACAGTTGGGCAGCAACAGGGACTGCAGTGCAGAGAGGAACAGAACTACAAATTCAGAAGAAAATCACATAAATGGATAAAAATAAGTCGACGTTATGATTTGTTTTCTGTTGATGTTTCAGATCCACTGTCGGCTGCTGGGAAGCTAAATGAGACAGATTTGTCCTTTCAGCCTCACAGCTTCACCTTCACGGCTCAACAGGCATCCCTCCTCTTCCTCAGAGTGAAACATTCACATTCATGACACACGTCAGAGCAGGGCTGTCACCTCCCCACCTAACCCTGATACACACACACACACACACACACACACACACACACACACACACACACACACCTACAAACACACACTCAAAGCAAAGTAAAGCTAAACTGAGGTAACAGCTCTGACCTTCAAAATAAATTCCATCTTAATGGAATTTCTCTTGTTCAGACTCCCACAGGCGAATATGTGTGTGTGTGTGTGTGTGTGTGTGTGTGTGTGTGTGTGTGCGTGCGTGCGTGTAGGTGTGTGCGTAGAGACCCGAGTCTACTGCAATTAAGCTCCATCCTAAAATAAGTAAATGGGATGAACATTAACATCCAATCAGCTATCAAAGAGAAGCTCCTTCAGAGCTCGTTAAGGACCTGCTGCTCGTTAAAGCTGACTCAGCAGAATGTAGGAACCATATTGCAGACACTGTAACAACGAAGGATGTCACACAAACCGACACTTTGGTACCAAGTTAATATCAAAATTCAGAAAACTTGCCTTTACTCGTGGGTCGTGAGGCCTTCTTGATTTGAAGGGGTGCATTAGAAAAGTTTGCGGTTAAAACCAAAGATGCTAATAGAATAATGGCCAAACGTCAGGGAGAAGAAAAGACTACCGTAAAACTTTTAAAAATAGCCCAGGCGTTTATTTGCCTAAATCACAGAACAACCCCTTCCTTTATTGGGGACAAGTGTCTATTTGGGACAGGCGTTTAATTCCTTTAGCACAAATCTCAGATGGAAAACCTCTTTAACTGTACTGCTTCTTTTGAGTTTTTAAGTAAATTTGACAACTTACAGGAAATTTCAGGTCGTACTTTTTTTCTCTATGCCAGTGCCATGACATGACGCCACAACGTGAATGTCGTTTTACGGCAGCTGAAGATTTACGGCAGCTGGCGTACAATCAGTGAGCAACCGACTTCACATGATAATATTCACAAACCGGATTCATTTTAATGAAAGACTTTGATTCTTTTGATCAGTGGACCCTTGCGGACTAAAGGAATATAAATAATGGAAGAACGACTTTATGATCGATTTTTTCCGTCTTTCTTGTTTACCATGTCGGTAAGTCTGAATGTATTAACGTTATACTTTGGTGTTCATAGTTTCCATAAAATAAGGTGACGGATTGAACTGTGGAGAATCACACTGATTTAACGATGTGCTGCATCCATTTTGACAAAAGTTTAAACGTTTATATTTGTGTAGGCGATCTAAACGGCTTAAAACTCGCTCTAGGGGGCGACAGGTGGGTTTTAAGATGTTTATACATTCAGAACATTTCTATAAAATCCACACCAGGCATTTAAAGAAGACCTGCGTCTGTTAGGGACCCTGCTTTTATTGGAAGTTTTACGGTATTTTAGACTAAATGCCCATTTCATACAAACTTCCTGCAGTTGTTGTGTTTACTGTTGTTTTAGTGGCACAGTTTATCAGTTAGAGGGGCAAAAAAACTTTTTCATTGTGGTATCGAATCGGTATTGAGAATCGTGGAATTTCACTGGTAATGGTATTGCGGTATCGACAACAACATTTCTGGTTTTGTGACAGCCCTAGTAGCAACAGGAGGTAGAAGAAGAGGAATGACTGACCCATCGTGGCATGTGTCCTCCGTCGGGGTCATGGTGATGATACTGCAGAACCAGAACTGTAGCGATGACCGACAGACCCACGATCACCATGGTGGTTGCAAAGTACTGAGCTGAAACACAAAGGTGTTTATAGGATTACTGTCTTAAAATATTCACTTTCATCATTACACGCCTTCCCATCATCAAGTATATCCCCCACCACACATGTCACATGACAAAAACAACATAAAAGACATAAGACCAAGACAAGACAAGAGGGAGACTCGACGCTGTTTAAATTTTAAGTTAACTTTGCACAGAAAAAGCTGGTAGAAAGAGAAACCAAGAAGGTACTTTGTACTTGCATACATTGAGTATATTTTAGAACTTGTACTTTTACTGGAGTTTTTTTTTTTATTTAAGTAAACATGTTAGTACTTCTGCCTCCTCTCGTCTACATCTTAGCTAATGTTTAACGAATTAGCTTACGTGCTAGCTAATTGTAATGTTTCCTTACTTCTGTTTAACATTAATAATCAGGCTCCAGTCGGACAGTCATTACCATGCTTCTTTATTCGGGTCACACCCGTTCTCTCTACCTCTCACGTACCCATGAGGTCATCACGCATATATCTGTGTTCCCAGACACTACACTAATGTACATTAGTTGTTAGCTGGCTATTTACATCTGATAGATAATGTAAGTACCTAGCTAACGATTAATACATAATTATGTCACTTTTGTCTTTTAACCATCTTCAAAATGTGGTTGTATTTTCAACATAGATTAGCCTAGCACATAGCATATCAAAGTACAGGAAAGGAGGAAGTTGGTCGAAGCTTGCTAAACTGTTATTGGAGCACAGAGATCTAACGGACTTGAAGAAGACATCTCTGTAATTACACTGTAAATGATTAACAAGCAAAGAGTGATTTACTTTAATCCCACTTTGTCCTCACGATGACGACAGAGATAACTGAGGTGATGGAGGGATGACGGACGAGAAGTATGATAAAGTGATGAAGCTCTAAGTGAGGGTCTCACCGATGAGAGGAACAGAGTCAGATGTCGCTGGCATGATTTCAGCTACGAGCAGCATGAAGACAGTCAGAGAGAGCAACACTGTGATACCTGCAGAGAGAGAACGGGAGTGTTTATAACTCAAACAGGAAGCAGAGTGCGGTTTGCTTCCTCGTGTTCATGTGTTTCATGTAAAAATAGTCAGCTAGGGCGGGACTTGTTACACACATTGCTATGCAGCTAGTGCTATGAGCTAGCGTCAGCATTTACCTTTCAGTGAACACAGCCAGACCCAGGGCCGAACACAATCTCCAAGACAGATCTGCCAGTCTGACAGGGAATCCAGTATTGAGGTGTTCTTGTCGGATTTGGCTCCTGGCATCCCGGGGCTGAGTCAGTTAGTTTAGCTGCACAGCTGACCGAGATAATGGCAGTTAGCGGTTTGCTACTTATCAATCTGTCCATCAGGAAAACCTGTCAGTCTGGGAGGCTGTGCTCGATCCCGGTCCGGCTTCTAAGCCCGGTTCTGTCGCCTGCTAACGGCAGATACAGTTAAGCAGCAGTTAATTAGCGGTTAGCTACTCTAGCAAGTAGTTAAAGCTATCTGTCCATCAGGAAACTCTATAAATCCCAGAGAGTTGAAGCTGAGTGATGCATAGTAAGAAATACAGTATGTGAACACTTTACTTGGACTTCATGGAGACTGGAGAAGATTGAAGTTGAATATTGATTGTTAGGTGATAATATTGCTTCAAACTGATGCAAAGAAATAGATTTTTTGCTTTTTTGGGGGGGGGGCATAAATTCTTAAATTGTGTATTCGCAGCTACTTACACTGTATTGAGTATGTAATACGGTTAGCATAGAGAGCGCCAGTCAGCATCAATAAAGCTTCACACACACACACACACACACACAGAGTCCTCACCCAGGGAGATCTTCTCTCCGGAGTCAGCGGGCAGCAGAAAGACGAGGAGTGCGAGTGTGGAGATGAGGACACAGGGAATGAGGAGGTTGAGTCCGTAGTAGAGCGTCCTCCTCCTCATCACTACAGTGAAGGTGACATCGGGGTACGGCTCTTTACAGCAGTCGTAGAAGCGCTCGTTTCTCCGTCCAGGAACCTCTGCAGACAAAACAACAACTATGGCTGACTTCCAGAGTCACAGGTTAACCTCTGACACACAGAGGTTGAGTAGAGCGACTGAAACTGCTGCTTTTATCATCTACATCTGTGAATTTAGGATTTATTTCCACCAAACCAGAGTTGATGATTGTTGGAAAGAGTAACAGAGACGGTTTTATTTTGTTTCTGTTGTATTTGAATTGTGTCTTACAATTATCTGTTTAGAAATTGCAGGTTTTGTCAATGGAGCCTGGTTGGCTGTAGCACGCATTGTTTTGGTCTGAGATGCCAGTGGTCTAATGTGACACCTAGTGGCAAGTACATTTTACATATATAACCTTTACCATAATTATGGTGTTGTTGCCACCTTGACAAATAATACCTGCTCTGTTTGACAAGCGATTCTCTTTAAATTAAATAATTTCATCTTGTTATTACTACGTACCAAATTATTCCCATTTTACAAGAAACGCTATGACAGCATATTTTGTCAGATCACAAAACTGTCTTGTTAGTTCCCAAATCAGCTTTTTCAAACGAGAAACCTTTCTCGTTATAATAACTTTCATAAAACAAGAAAAGATCCAGTCACTGTAAGACATATCACATGCCCCAATCACATTAATCAATCACATTTGCTTCTTATTTTGCTGTTTTCTCTGTGGTCTGTAGAATAAAATGACAGAAAGAGCAGTATAGTAGCAGGTCTGGTGGATTGATATTGTACCAGAAGATCAAAGATGTATTTTAAACTATGTAGTGATTCATAAACCAGTAGCGATGTTTTTAAAATAAATTCTGGAACAGATTAGAAGCAGTGCAGAGATCAGAGGACTTGACTGATGTTCGGCTTCCTTAAACTTTAATGAGACTTTAGCTGCAGCTGTTTGAGAGTTGGAGAAGTTAAAGAAGGAAAACCTACAGGGGAAAAGGGCTCTTTCTGCTATTAAAGTCCTATTAAAGGTGAATTAAGCCTCTGTGAGACACAGTTTAATAAAAAAATCAGAAAACTGACACTTGTTTGTAGAAGACTGATGATAAGTAACATTAAGATTTCTTGCTCTAGTCACACGAGCTGCTCAACCTGCAGGAACGAGGCCATTTCATCTTAAATGGCTCAGAAACGTAATTTAATCCTCCACAGGAGAGGTATTTAAATATTTCACAGGAAGTCAAATCCTCCCCGTTGCTGCTGCAGGGAGGCGTGAAGCCGCCCGCTGAGGACGACTGACATTAATGAGGCCTGCTCAGGTTTTATTACTGGAATAATAATCTGTTGCTATAATGTGTGTGCCAGAGATTAATTAAAACATCCAAAATGATTCAAATGAGCAGAGAAAAGTGACAGAAGAACAATAATTCTCTATATTTATTCCTTGGCAAGGTTATTTCTTCCATTTGTTGCCTGGATGCTGTGACCTTTGCCCCCTAGCCTCTCTATTAAGGCTTTTCTATTGGCCAATTCAAGCCATGCTGCACTGATTTTCCATTATCAGTTTAAAGTTTGTTGCGCTGAACGGATCACAAGATGGACCATTGGCCCTTTTCCGTACACGTGCTGGTTTGAGTTGGCCCAGTGTGGCAGCGATTTGCGTCTCCATTACAGCTAGGCCACCAGCCGCAGCGATGGTTGAGAGAGCTCTGATTGAATCAATAAGCAGCGAATCAAACAAATAATATATTTTCAGATTTTTAGAAAATCAGTTACGTTCCAAAGCACAAATAAACACGACCCCCTTTCCTTCCTGCAGGATGTAGACTTGTTACAAAGCCACTAAGGAAGCTCCGCTAATTCAGTGATATATGCATTTCATCTCCTGTAAATTCTTCACAATAAAAGTCCCAGGTTATATATAAGCTTTTATTATGAAGCCAAAATATCCCGGATATGACTGCTGCCATCTTTCGCATTCGGAATAGATTCTGTGCAGTCGTGATCGGGGTATCGGGGCTCAGCTGTCACTCATGATGGTAAAACCCCCTTTTTATATCTTCAGATCACTAATTAAAACCAAACAAACAAACATCAGCGTGATAAGAACAACCTAAAACCTGCTAACATGGAGGCAGTGGGCTTATGAGCTATACTGCAGTCAACCACCAGGGGGAGATTTAAATAATCGAGAAGAATCGCAATATATCACAAATCTATATAACGTTGGTTTAATATAGTGTTAATCTAGTTATTACAGCACTAATTATCAACAAAGCTGAAGTAAATAGAACTGACCTGAACATGGCGACCCAATGTACAGTGTCAGCTACTGCCGGTGTTCAGTGTGTTTCTCCTTAACTTCCACTTCTGGTAATTTTACTGATGAATTGGTGGTAAAAACTCCCTGCTTCTATTTCATCCATCTGCATAAGAGTGCAGAATGCCTGGCTGCCTTTCATTTGCCCGTACATCGCTGCATTGCTCACTACATTGGTTTTAATCTCTGCTATAGGTGCTGGAGAGGAGGGGGTAGACGGGTAAATGGGAAACATGCTGCTGAGATTTTCAACTGAACGGCCCATTGGCTGAACAGCATCTCCGGAGGAGGCTCGCTTTCATTCTCCGCTATCTTCTCCTTCCATTTCATACTCTCTTTCATCAGCCGGTACAAACAGAGGGCTCCAGCTCCCCTGAGACCGAGGACGATGCTGCACTCATCATTAGTCTCCAACAGCAGCTCTGGCTCCGTCCTCTGCTGGACCTCTGATCTGCAGAGGCTTTTTAATCTGTGCTCTGTTGTACTGAACTATGTGTTGACTCACATCCACATCCTTAAACATCAATTATGTGCTGCAGATAAGTTGTTAAAGGTCCAGTGTGTAACAGGATCTATTGTCAGAAATGGATTATAATATTCATAGACAAGTTCTCGGTTGTGTATAAGCACCTGAAAATATGAATTGTGCTTTTGTTACCTTAGAACAGGAGTCTCAAACTCAAATAGTCTTGGGGTCACTGCGAGTATTCACTTTAATGTTCACATACAACAAGAAAGCGCAATATTCTGAAAATAAGCTCTGCCCCTAAAATACGATTTTATCGTTAGTCGCTGTAAAGAGTCTCAGTCGACCCACATTTCATGTTGCAGAAAAAAAACCCACTTCAAACTCACCATCACCATGACCAAAGTATCAGAGGTTTGTTGCAACACGGACCTTTTCTCTTGTAACACAGGAAGTCTCTTACCCTTGCACAGCTGCTTATGCTAACTGTACTAGCTGCTATTAGCTAGTTAGTGGACCTATTAGCTGTCTGTACCCGGACTGGGAGCTGGAAGGACAGCGGCTCTGACCAGGACTCTGACTCTGGGGATGAAGACTCGGCGGGTTCAGGCAGCGACAGGAGAGGAATGAAACAATGAAAAAGGAAGAGGAGCCAGTTTGTAGCCAGTTAATTAGTCAGTAACTGTTAACGTTATCCTTCATCCATCGTATTGATCAGTCCGCCAGGATTAGTTTCAGTAAAGGTAGAAGTTATTGGACTGTGTGATGTAACATTCAGAATCATTATCACTGTTTCTGTTTGCATTTAAACACTGTTCGTCATATATATGTTATATATATTTAAATAATTAAATAAATGTGAGACGACTATTGTCTTTATTGAACGACTACTAGTCGAATAGGACAATCTGTATTCGAGGACGGCCTTACTAAAAATATTTCTATAACTAACATCATTCCTAACAAGAAAAAAGGCAAACAGCAGTTTCTATACATTTTATATCACGTTTGCTTATGAAGCCCTGAAACCTGATCTCTTCTTATCAACCCTTTGACCTTATATATGTTTTAAAGGGGAACTTGGCAACTATTTCAACTTAATAAACCCGTTTAGAAATCATGCGGAAAACCAACCTTGCAACTTTGGGACTACCATCTCGTTAAGTTGGAAATAGGAAGTATCGTGAGAAGCGAGAAAGAGCGAGAAACACAAACTGTTTTACGGCAATTCCACATACCCCCCCCCAATACCGCCTATAAGAACAAGCGACGATGAATGCATTACCGACCTCGGTAGACATTGCTCCACACAGAAAACAAATGCACATCAGCAGCGGTAGAAAGGGGGAGGAGGGTGTCGCAAGTGAGTTTTTTACGACAGTGTTTTGAAATATACGTCCCAGAGCTGTAGGGGGAGTTCGTTGAGAAAACATGCGACGACAAAAGTGAAAACCAGCGAAGAAATGGCTAGAGTTGCCAAGTTCCCCTTTAAATTATTTATTATTTTTATTATTATTATTTGTATAGTTTTTTTAATTTTAATATGTTATCAGTGTTAAAGTCAGTAGTACTTTTCTCCTCCTTGGTGTCCCTGTCTCTCTGTGTGTGTGTGTTTGGACTCCTCCCACTCTCCCTGATTAACTGCTTACCTGTCTAACTGCTCAAACCTGCCAGCTATCAACTCATCAGTCCTGTAGTATATAGACTCTGGTTCTCCATCCACTCTCTGCCAGATCGTTGTCTCTACAAGCCTGGTAGTGACTTTAAGAGAAGTTTTTTTTCCCGGGTCTCAGGATCATACCCTTCGCTACAGCTACCTTCCCACTGGAAATAATTGCAGTTCTCCTGGAAAATTTTACCACTGAACAGAAAATGCCATGAGCGAGTTCTGATAAACGCTGACCATTTTGGAAACATGAGACACTTCTTCATGAACTTGCATTCTTACAAAAGAAACCGGTAACTTCTGTGACTGTTTGGGAGTAAATGCTGTCCTGTATTGTCAATGAAAACTCCTGGAAAATGATTTCTTAACAAGACCAGGAACCCTGTTAACCAACCGTTCTCTCATCCAGACTCCTTTTAGCTTTCTGCCTTTGGTTTTCCTCACTGAAAATCATCAACATTACTACAGTAAGTTGTTCCCCATGAGAGCCAGTGGTGGAGCATCATCCTCTAGTGTGTGACGCAATATTCATTTCCAGTCTTGCAGAAAAAATCTGTTAAGTTCTTTAGATTGACGCAACCAGATTTCAACATCAGTTAGGATTTAAAAACTGCTGCAGTCTGAGCCTTGAACCTAAGTAAGAGACTAAGGGCCTGTCCTCACGAATACGCGGCCTCACCCAATACGATGTTGTTTTGAAAAAAATCGCCATAAACACGGCGTCGTTTCCAGAAATATCTGTGTCCACACAGATTCACTGAAACGACCCAAAACGCTGTAGTACATATGCCAGGCCATTATGTGGCGCTGTGACGCTGCCACACCAATACACATTGGAAAGAGAAGCCATGGAGCATGCACTGTTTACAAACAAGTAGTAGTAGTAGTAGTCTGCCATTGCTGTTATTATGACGCGTCTATCGGCGGCGGCTGAGGTTAAAGGCTAGAGAGGCAGAGCTAATCCGTTTTCGCCGTCCAGACGACTCCGGGCAATCTGGCGTTTTCCGATTTTCCCACTCTGGGACCCGTTTCCAAAAAATATAGTTTTCACACCCCGAAAACTCCGTAGCCGTCTGGATGTGAGGCCGATACGATAAAGTATTTATCCGGATTCGAGAAACATAATTGTGAGGACAGGCCCATAATAAACAGGGTTCCCACTCTTTAAAAAAATCATCTTCCAGGATGTTTTTGAGCTTAAATACACACCAAGGTTTACGTTGATGATCTGCGTGTAAAATAAATTTTTTTCCAGGACAACACAGATCATTTGAATCAATCTCCAGGTGTTTCCATGACTGGAAAACTAGCGCTGCAATAAATGCACAAAAATACTGTAATATCCAAGGTGGTGGTGATACGTTTGGATATGGTCTGTATTTCGATGTTTACAGACATGGATCTTTGACAGATTTTAGTTTTATAGATCTGGATACATTTCCGTAGACTTGGATTGAAACTTCGGATATAGTCTCTAAATTTCCAGGTTTTCCAGGAAGCCTGTTAAGCTTTTTGTAGTGTCTGAGTTGTTAGATGTCTCATCCACCTGACCTCCACAGTTACTGTCCCACATGTTGGTAGGGTTGTAACATCGTAACTTCAGTCAAACAAAATTGTCTTTGTTTTTCTTTCCCTTAATGGAAGAGCTGGTGCCCCATGTACCAAAGTCCTGTGGCCCTCTGATTCTTTAAGTGTTTTATCAGAGTCAGACGACTAATTTCTCCCTCATTATTATTATTATTATTATTATTATTATTATTACTATTATTATTATTTTAATTCAGTTTAATGATGATTATGATACAACAACCTGTAATTCCAGTGAGAACTAGATAAACGTGCAGCAGACGTGTGCGTGATCAGATGGCGTTATGACTTCGTTCAAACATAAAACTCAGTGTCGGCTCTTCAGGAGGCCACAGGTCTCTGCCTCGCAGTGTCCCACGATCAAATCAAAGCGCTAAAAAGGGATTGGAGCTGATATAAATGTCATTCAATCGTCACGCTTTGTTGAGTCATCTGGCATTTGTGAGCGGCCGATAGTACAAACACGGCTTGCAGGCGACGGCGGCTCCCATCAGCCTTCGGGTTCACTGAGTCGCTCGGCCGGCAGCAGGAGGGTTTAATTACCAGCAGATTAATGCTGGATAAGAGCGCTGATATGAAACCCTCCTCAGCAGACAGATGGAGGGGCTGCCTCTGAGCTGCTCTCTGAGTGTTGGGCTCTGACATTTACATACCGTCGCTGTCAGGGAGAAAACTCCTAAAATGTTCAGGAACTAATTAAAACAACTTGTTTGTTTTGCCATTAACCGGTCGGGGATCTCACCGTGAAATGAGCTCGCCAAAGTTTGTTCCCTCGTTTCCCCTCTCAGATTATCTAAAAGTTTCTCCCTGATCACTGAAGCAGTATGAATAAGTCCTGTGTTATATTTTTATATAATATTATATTAATATTTGTATAACTCGCAGCATTTTAGCAAAAGATGTACGTTTATTGCCAAAAGTATGTGGACACCAATGTCCAGATACAATAAAGGTGGGGTTGGTTATTCTGGAGAGTCCATCGACTAAGATATATAGACACTTTGTTTGTTTCCCATTTACTATATTAACAACCTGGGAATGAGAACTTTTAATGTATTATGGATTTAGGTCCACTCACACAGTGAAAGGAAATCGTAACCCTCCAGTACCCAGAGATATTTTATATATTTAGCTTTTCCCAAATTTGCGTTCGTCCCTTTTCTGTTTCCCCACCTTCACGTACAGATCCATTTTCCCAGTTCAAGAACTTGACTGTTCTGCCTGACCTCAACCCGACCCAACATGAGCCATACCTGATCATCTAACATCAGCGGCCAAAGAGTGGAGGTTTGTATAACAGTAGATTAATCACATGTTCAACTATCACATATGGCTGGAATGTCAATCTGTCCACATACTTTTGGCCATGTAGTGTACCGTAGGGGTTTAATATACACAAAGTTAATTCAAGGATTTAAATAACCATGGACTGAATGTCCAAGTATGAAAAGTCATTCAGCCTCATGTTTACTTGTACTCTTACCCACGAGGTCCCATTCTCCGTTGGCGATGTATCCGGTGATGTCGGCCTCGATCATCTGCAGGTCCAGAGACCAGCCGCCGTATGTCCATGAGCCGAACTTCAGGTCGCAGCGCTGCACATCGAATGGAAACCAGCGAACGTCGATGTAACAGGTGCTCTTAAATATTCCTATAAAAGAAAAATGGAAAACAAGCTGTGAGGAGGAGATAAAGGAATACAAAGTAAACTACCGTTGGATGGGGAATGCACAAAAACAAGGTCAGTAACCTCAGAATGAGAAGAAGAAATAAAAATTGTGTTTGTGTGTCCGCAGGAGATCAATATCAAATCAAAGCAAAAACTAATAACTGGGAGGAATTCATGAAGAAGATAAAAAACACTGGAAAGAAAATAAATTACAGACAAACAAAAGGATTTGATCGACAGAAACCAGTAAAATAAGTTGCACAGACAGAGGACAAGCACAGATTTTAGATAGCGAGGGATGAACTCCGGTTTTATATTTATTTCTTTAAAGTAAACAAGAAACCAGGTCTGGTCTCCCTCGGGATTCTGCTCAGGACGAACGTGTTTGAGGTTTCAATTAACTTTGTGTGGATCTGCTGGGAAAACCCATCTGATCTCAAACCAGTCAGCACCTGCTGCCTCCAGACAAAAAAAGACGAAAGTTTAATAATCCCTGAGGAGAAATCAGGAACGTAAGTAACAGGAAACAGCAAAGGAAAAAATAAAATATGAAGAATAAAGCTAACTGAGGTTACAGTGTAAACACAAGGCGGATAAACTAAGGAGGATGAGGATGATACATTTTTATTAGAAGCAATAAGTGAAAATTTAGAAATGTACACAATGTATTCTGGCTGTGATACATACAAATAGAACAAGTATGTAATTAAAGAGAGGAGTAAATCATACATGAGATTCATTATTATATGTAAAGATATAGTGGAACAAAGATGGTTTTAGTGAGTTTTATTTTGTTTTTGTCCACTTTGAATGAAGTTACAATGTTAACTGTGTTATAAAATACAGTTTTATATCAATCACATTTTCTCTCTCACTGCTGAAGCTTGAAGCCTGAGCTCGTCTCTGCCATCACTGCCCCTCCCAATAACACCCCCAACTCACACTAATCAATGTCAGCTGTCCGTAGTAATAGAGCTGTTACGACTTTTATTGGTTATTGATCTCTGTTGGCCGATGAGTTTCCCTTCTCTTCCTGACATTTTATGATCAGGCTCTAAGTTGCAACTCAGCCTGCCGATTTTAATTGTTTTGTCTCATTCTGTAAAGCAGCGAGAAATGATCTCCTGTGTTTATATGACGTCTTTACTTCCTGTTTGAGCACCAATAAAACATGAAATAAAATTAACAGTCCTTCCTTAACTCTCAGTGTTAAACAGTTTCTATCAGCTGCCTGGTTAAAAGTCGTGATGAGTGTCAGGTCGTCAATCAGGATCATAACTCCTCCTGACCTCCTCCTGTTGACCGCATGCTGACCCCCCCCCCCCGACCTCCATAAAACACCAGGCTAAATTTCTTTCAGGGATTGATAGCGTTGTTCACCTCAAACCCCTCTTGGCAAGCGTGGACTCTTTTATTGGGTGTTACAATATCTCCATCTGTCTATATATACATATAATTCAAGAATAAAGTCATTATTCACTTCTCCATTTTCCATTGACTCTTCAATTAAAGGCAATAAAAGCCTCCCAAAAAATAAAATTGACAGATATAGAAAAGGATGCAAAGGCCACATGTCGTAATATCGCTCTCCACCAGACTCCATAGACTAAAACAGTAATTTTACCTCATAAATGAAACAAAAAAACTCACTAAAACTGTCTTTGTTAGTATTTCCACTGTTCCAGCAATCACCAGCTCTGGTTTGGTCATCGTATCCGGCTCTCCAGGTACCTCCACTATGGGCGATGTTAAAATACTGTAAAGTACAGCCGAACCTATTCAGCTACAGACAGTTCACACAGGAGACATCGTTGACTGTTGTTGAATCCTGAATTAACCGGTTCAAGACCCAGAGCTAGTTTGATGTAAAAGGGGTCCTCCTCATCGACATTTCTCTTTCCAATAGTTCCTGTTTGGAGCCAAGTTTGCATTCTTTTTTTACCATCTTACCATCATATTTTCTCTTATAAATAATCATGGATGTATGCATGTGCTACGTTCATGAATGTGACTACCCAGCTGGCTCATATTGAAGCCAAATATTTATAACTTGTATTACATTTCAAGAATATTTATACAAGATTTTTTTGTAGTGTTTTGATAGTATTATATGTGCATATTGATAGTATGATGTTTTTAGTATTATAGAATAGTAGTGTAACTAATTACTAAAGAAATTCAGTGTCACAGATACAGTGACCCCCTGTAATATTACCTGGTGGCAGGTACTGGCAGTAACCAGTGGAGTTGACCAGGATGTTGGTGTGGAAAGAGGCATCGAACCTTTCATCAGCACTATTGGGAGAGATTAACAGTCAGTGTCAGTAGCACAGAAGGTCGCAGAGTGTCGACTAAATCATAGTTTCATTGGGACACAGCTGATCACACTCAAGGTTGTACCATTATCTACAGCCTGTAACAGCCCCGTCATATTTCTAACCTGAACCCTTAAAATTTCAAGTACAAGAAAGTGGTTGGACATTGTTAAGGATGTGTACTCCAGGATGCAGGAATGAGAACAGGCTGCATATTGAGGAAAAGAAGCAGAGTGAGAATCTCAGGGTGCAGCAGGGGGAGCTGAAATCTTTTTTTTGCAGATGATGTGATTCTGTTCATCAGACAATGCTTGAACTATGCTGGAAAATGGTGGATTTCTCCTTTCGGGTTGGGAGCTGAAGTATCTCGGGGTCTTTTACGTGAGTGAGATTAAGCTTGACAGGTGGATTGATGCATATGTTGTAACAGTGTCGTAATGAAGTTACCACAAATATTCGTACCAGCCTCAAAAATCCAGTATTGGTCAGGCTATACAAGAATGCTTCAGGATCCTCACGGAAAAACTGGAGACATCAGGGTTTCCTTGTGTAGCCTACCTTCAGTATATTAAGATTATCATCCAAAACTTTGTGCTTTTCTTAAGATATTTACGTACTGGATGGAAGAGTGTGTTGCCCGTTGAAAGAAGAAAATTCACTAAGTTTGTAGTAAAAGTTGACCCAGTACCCAATAATAATTCAAAGTTTCTGGTCCTGTTTGTTTGCCCCCTCTTATTAAAGCCAGCCAGGTCAATATTCCCTCAGACAGTACTCCCTGCCTCTCCTCCTTCCTCCCACCAGGATCAAACTTTACTCCTGAACGCTGCTCGGTTAATGAGCTGAGACGCTCGTAAGCATCCAGCAGAGAGCCTCCCCCAGCCAGCAGCTCTGATGTGTGTGTGTGTGTGTGTGTGTGTGTGTGTGTGTGTGTGTGGGTGTGTGTGTGTGTGTGTGTGTGTGTGTGTGTGTGTGTGTGTGTGTGTGTTTGTGTGTTAACAGTGAGGTATTAATCCTGACAGGGAGAGGACCTATCTTTAGTGCTGATAACAGGAGGGAATTAGCTGAATTAGCTTGTTTACTGAATCAGAACTGAGGGATGTAAATAAGACCGTGAACAGAGTGAGTTGTCTGTGGCCTCGTTCAGGGTGTCTCACCGTGACTTCCAACATCCTCAATCCACCAAAGACAAATTGATCCTGTTGTTCCGTTTCTTCTCTGACATTTCCCATTTAAAGAAGACCCAGTAGAGCCAGATTGACGGTTTCTGTGCTATTTTCTGTTATGATGCTATTGGTTATCAGTTGTTGGGCAAACAGTTTCTCACTATTTTTACCTCTTAATAAGTCATTTTCTTATTTTCCAACTAGTTTGTGTTTTCTAAATGCTGAACTATTTTAAAGCCACTGTGTGTAGTGTGTCATAATAAATATAATTCAGCTTGACGTGCACAAGGCTGGGCTAAAGTTACCCAATTAGACCATTTTGGCCTCATTGACTGAACTGCACCTTGGTGGGAAAAAAAGTTTATTTTTGCTGCATAAATAAGAAATTATAAATTATATTTAAATGATATATAAATTGCTAGTTAGACCAAATTAAATCACCGTATAATCCAAAGTTTTAGTCCTTTTTTACATGTTTGCTTTATGTTGTGCAATATTGCCTTATATCGTGCTATCTCATGAATGAGTTAGGGCTGCACAATTAATCAAAATATTATCTAAATTGCAATATGCCAAGTGAAGTGCTATATACAAAAGTAAAATGTTTGACAAAAAAGCATTATAATGAAGTACTGTAGTACTGTAGAGATGCTCTGGCCTACAAATTCTGTTCTCCAGATTTAAGAATAAATCTAAATTGAGTGTTTTGTACGAACCCCCCAAAATTCACATCATCGTGACTTTAATAGTTTTGAGTTTGGGAGTCATATCAGAATATTAAAAATCTGATGTTTTCACCATATCGTGCACCCCTAGAACCAGTCTTAGCTAGCTGGCTAACATAGAGGCAGCAAGCAAGACATAATATGTCATCTGCTTGACGAGGGGATAAAACACACATTCAGAGCTATCAGCTACCTCGAGTCCCTCCCAGGCTGCCTGTTTTTACAGGAAATATGTAATCATGAGGAAGCAAACAGCTCTCTGCTTATGGTTCCTTGTGACCTTTTAATCTAGCCCTGATCAAACAATGTGAGAACACACAGTTCACATTCACAAAGCGATCTCTCGTCTTCATTCATGTACCTGTTGTACAGCAGGATGTCGGGCCTCCAGATCTGGCTGTCTGGGAATCTGACGTTGGTCACACCTGGATAGTCGGACATGTTCCACTGCAGGTAGAAATCTGTCCAGTACTGAAAACACACACACAAAAACACACACAGATGTTAATGTACACACTAACCCAACTTGCTTTAGCCTCTGCCAAAAATACATCACTACCAACTCATAAAAAATAAGAATCATAAACTTACAGTTAGAAGAAATGTCTCAATATTGGTATTAGTATAATAATACTTTGTATTTTATATTTACTAACATTAATATTATCCTTTTAATCATTGCTCTGAATGATTATAAAGAACTTTAAACACTTTTTTAGACTTTGTAACATCTGTCCAGAGACTATAAATAATAGACTTTTGTCTAATTCTGGTGCATTTACAGCATTTATGTTTATTAACTGTCCCGGTTATGAAACAGTCTCAGTTTAGTACTGATGACTATATGACCTACATAAACGAACAAGTAACTCAGTCAGAAGATTTTGTATATTGTAGAATGCTTGCTCTGCCACAAGGTCAGATTCCCCTTGAAATTAATGGAACGAGTAAAATGTTCCTTGTTGCTGATTTAAATAAACTGATAAAACAATAAACAAATAAATAAATAAGGCTTGATTTTCTGACCCAAACTGTGTTCCCTTCACATCCACAAGGTGTAATCAGCTAATTGGCTGAAGTGAGGGATCATTTCAACATTGTTTTCTACAATTCAGTTTATCTTTTGGGAAACACAAAGTAGAAATTAGGTCCGACAATAGTAAAAATGTCCACAAGCGATGAGTTGTGTACGTCTCGTCTGAAACCGGCTGATAAGCTGCAGCTCATCTCTGCTTGACCTCCATATTTCAGCTGGTGAAATCTAGATTACACTGGATCTTACGTAACAGCCATTGTTAGCTAGCTCTGTGTGTTTTCAGGCAGCTGTGAGAGAGAGGAGTGTGCTGCCAAGGAACATCGGGACGGTGTTGATGTCTGATTTGCATGCACCGCTCTCGTGGCCGGCTCGGTCCTCGTCACCAGTCTCTCTGAGCTCTTTGGTCTGTGTTGATGGTTTGAGGCTGCGAAGGCTGAAGGTCGCACACATCTCTCACAGTCTTGTTTACTTCCTGTCACCGAGCTGAAATGTTTTCCCCAGAGGAATCTGTTGAAAGCAGAACTGTCGCAGCGGCTGCAGAGATACCCCCCCAAAAAAAATCACAAGAGGAGACTCTGAAGTTCACGTCAGAACAGCCAAACACATCTGTTGACTTTAAAACTACAAGGAAATGTTTTCTAAAGTGAGTTTGATGTTTCAAGTTTCTCACAATCTTTAAAGTTAGATAAAGAGCCATAAAATATTTTTTTAATTCAGTAGTATCACTTTCATCTTTGTCACCAGCTCAACATGAGGAAGAACCTGCCAAAGACAATGATGGTGCACTTTTACACTGCCGTCATTGATACTGACAGTTTATATAATAGACAGAGCTTCTGGATTTGTTTAATGTCTAAAACCTGCATTCTATGTAAAGGCCAGCAGGGGGCAGCTCCATTGGCTGCACTATAAACTGACACCATTCAGTCTTATGGAGAAATGAGACGATTTCTCAGTTGATTTATGAGCTCAGTAAACAGTTTCCTGAACACTTTCTGGTCTCAGTCTCTAGTTTCAGTCTTCTTCCATACAGCATGATGTTCATTTAGTAACTGATGGTCCCATTTAGAGTAAAACAGACCATAAAGCAGGGTATGCTTTAGGGCGGGGCTACCTTGTGATTGACAGCTCATTCTCAGTGAGTCCATCCAGCTCAACGCACCAAACTCAGATCAAAGTGTCAAACAGTGCTGATCAGATATGGATCCAGATTCTGTTGTTGACTATTTCTCTCCTCAAATCTGTTCACAAACACATTTTACTGTTTATCTGGAAGCCGCCATTGTTTCCAAACCAAGAGCAGCCAATGAGAGCAGCTCAACTCGCAGTACGTCACCTCCTCTGGCTCCGACAAACTGTCACTCCGACGACCATAACGCCAAACTGGAGGCTTCAAACACTCCCTCACTATTCCTGTGATCTGTGTGTCTAACTCCTGTCTGCAAACCAAATTTTCATGAGATAATAATTGAGTTACTTTAGTCAGCACGTTGCATCATAACTTTCCAGTTGAAACACAAAGAAGTAATCCATATATCAGGAGCAAGATGAAAAACAGTCTCCTAACAAGCATTTATGCATTTTTAATGAGCAGGTGAGGATCTCTGCACTCCCTCATCTGAAAGGTTCAAAGAATCAGAAAGATGCACACTATAAAGGAAACTGATGCAATAAGGTGACGTTAAAAAGATTAAAAGAGGAAGAAAAATCCTAAAAAAAAGTCAAGACATCCCAGTAGTTCACAAACTGGTCCATCATCAGCACTGCTGTTAAACAGATTATTTAAATAGTTCAGAGTGGAGACGCTTTTAGATCAAACTGCATCATTAGATTCATTCTGGGCTGTGGTACATTCATGTTTTGGCCTGTATTTTCTAAAAGGATTATCCTCACAGAGTTATCGGTTATTTTTGGATCTCTGAGGGATTTTCAAATCTTCCTTTTTAACAAGACTAAACATGGTAAGATTTTGGTTTCTCAGAAACACTGTAGGAGCTAAAACTGTTGGTGTGACAACAGTGGCGTGAAGCAGTTGTAGCTACCAGTGCTGTCACCTTTTCAAAAAGTTTGAATGAGTTTGGTAATATTAAAGTTAATGCCAGACAAATCATGCCATCCGACTAATAACTGAAGAATGGAAACAGGATTATTTCTTTTTCTTGTTCGATCCCACTCGTTATTACCTAACTCAACATTCTGAATGTGTGTCAATCAATCAGTGTGTCGTTGTCAAGGCTGTTGCCAAGTATAGGCTCTTCCTTTCTTTTTTAAACATATTTTTATTGGTTTTTTGTTTTAGTACAACATCCAACATTATGAACATATGGCAGTAGTGAAAATAATAATTAAAATATTAATAATACTGAAAGGAACTAAATAAATAAATGAATAAATATAGATAGCAAAATAAAATATTGATTTAGGTTACAGCGTACATTCCCAACAACCAGACATTTTTCATTACCTTATTCTCCCACTGCCTCCTCCATATCTCCAGCCCTTAACAGTTCCAGAAATATCTTCCAAATGTTGTAAAATTCAGAAGCCCTCTTTCTAATAATATAGATCAGTTTCTCAAGCTGATCGATGTTAAGTTATTTAACCAGTGGTTAAAAGAAGGGCACCCAACATTCTTCCAACATAGTGCTATACAGCGTTTGGCCTGTAGTAAACAAAGGTCAACCATTTTTCTTTCCTTACAAGATAAAGTACAGTCATCTGGATAAATGCCTAAAATACATAACTTAGGACAAAAAGGTACAGGGGAGGATGTGATCTGAGAGATATACTTTACACTGAGCTCCAAAATTTTTTAATCTCTTCACATTTCCATAAGCAGTGATATAATGTACCCTGGTGACTATTACACTTATACCATAGATCAAGTATATCAGGATCAAATGAATTTAATTGTACAGGGGAGATGTATGTCCGCATTGTCCAATTAAATTGTATCATTCTCAGTAGAGTGTTGTTGGTTTGAGTGCATGTTTTTAAACATATTTTACTCCATTCAATAAGTGAAATAGCTTCTTGTAAGTCACGTATCCACTCCTGTCTTTTACTATCAGAGTTTTCCTTATGGTTTTCAACCAACATGTTATAAAACCGGGAGACCAGTCTTTTACCAAAACCGTTTTTTGTAACATGTGTTTCTAAGACGGAGAATGGGGGTTGTTGCACTGAATTGTTTAAGTGTGCCAGAGTAAAACTACTAAGTTGTAAGTACTTAAAGAAGTGTTTCTGTGGTATATCAAACTTTGCCTTTAACTCATTGAATGACATTAGAGTATAATCCTCATATACATCCTGTAGTTTCACTATGCCCTTGTTCCACCATGCTTTAAAACCCACGTCGTTCTTAGCCGGGGCGAAGTGTTCATTACCCCAGATTGGGGAGAAACAGGACAACCCTGGAGAGTCATCCAACATTTTTTGTACTTCATGCCAAACAACAATAGTGTTTTTTACAAAAGGATTAGTAGTACTTTTCTTTAATGTTTAAAAGATGCTGAGTATACATAGCTATTCAATGACAAACCTTTTGAGGACAGTTTTTAAATTTCTAACCAGGGCAAGAAAACATCTTTCGAAAACCAAAAAATTGTGGTCCTCAACTGAGCAGCCCAATAATACCATTCTAGATTTGGCAATTGTAGCCCTGCCCTATCATAAGGTAAATATAGGAGGGAGGGTCTGAGTCTTGGCTTCCTATTGTTCCAGATGAAATTAGAAAGTAGCTTTCTGGTCTTAGGAAAAAAAGGAGGAAGGGCCAGCAGAATTGACTGAAAAATATATAAACATTTTGGTAATATAGTGATCTTTACTATGTTTATTCTTCCCAGTAAGTAGAGCGGCAGTGTTGTCCACCTAGTGATCTCTTCCGACACCTCTACTACCATGGGCTCATAATTGGCTGAGCTAAGATTACTTATCTTTGGAGTTATTCTGATGCCCAAATATTTAAATCCCTCTGTGGTATTCACAAGTGGGTGGGATACTACTGGTTTCTTCCTCTCGTTTACATTTAAAAACATAATAGATTACTTTTCTTTCTTCACTTTGAACACAGAGACACTACCAAATTGATTGAACAACTCCAAGAGAGATGGTATAGATTCTGCAAGATGTGATAAAAACACATTAGTATCATCAGCGTACATGGCTGTATTGTGTACTAAATCCCTGGTCCTAATACCATGGATTGAGGGTTGTGATCTAATCGCTATTGCTAAAGGTTCCATGGCTATTACAAATAGTAGAGGTGAAATTGGTGACCCTTGCCTTGTGCCTCGAAATAACTCAAAAGGCTGAGAGATGAGGTTATTAGTAGATACCATTGCAGAAGAATCAACAAGTAAAATTTCGACCCATCTACAAAATTAATCACCAAATCCAAAACGCTTAAGCACCTCGAGTAGATAGGGCCATTCGA